TAAAAACAATCTTCAAACGATAAAATGTATACCAATCAAAGTGTAAAACTATTATTTCGCTACCACAAAAAAATATATACAACCCAGACCCTGAGATACACAAATCTGTAGACATATCATCAAGAGATCCGATCCGGAAGGAAAAGCACCAGGAAGAACGATAAAACCAAACTCACAGCCAGTTTAAGAGAAAGAGAAATACTTTTACAGTGTTCCAATTTACATTTTTCTTTAACCATTTAATTTTCAATTTAGTTTTCGGTTTTAGCTTTAGTTTTAGTTCTAGTTTTAGTTTTAGTTGTGGATAAGGACGTTGATGATTTCGATTGTATGTAATTTATAATTTCTTGCTTGTTTCTTTTTCTCTTTGCATTTGCAGTTTGGCGCTTTAACCCCCTTAGAACCCCGGCTAGGAAAGAAATTAATAGAACCACTCACAAATCTAATTCATAGGCAAGTTTTAAATTATTGCAAAACAAAACGAAAATACAAATGAACTGAGAAGTGAAATACGATACGATTTCCCAAAAATGTGTGGAAAACGATTGCAACAAAGCAAGGCGAAAGCAAAAATTCGAAATCGCAAAGTGACCGATTAATGGTCGATATCAATTGATCGATAATTGAAGCTGCTCGATGATTGTGCGACTGAACGTTATATATATTCGTTATTATCATTTAACTGTATAAATCTTCTAGCTTCTTATGTCCGTTACCTATACCGCTCTCTTTCTCTCTCCCACTCTCTCAACTTATGACTGTCGCCATCCTGCTTAAGTTTGCATTTGTTTCTATAATTTCGTCGTTTGCCTATCGATATTTTGCTTATCGAGCACACTCATTGAGAGCCAAAGTTCTAATTAGTTAAATCGGCAGAAGCGAAAGAAAAACAAATAATCAAGCCGTTGCAGTTGTTGTTGTTGCTGTTGTTAGTTTTTCTTTTTTGTTTGCCTTTGCTGCGTTGCTTCGCAATGTTGTGTTTCCCCATTGTCTATCGCAATAATCGCTAATTGTTATCGCTACCACTATATATGCTATCAATATTGCTACCGTTGTTGTTGCCATTGCTATTTGCTATTGTTGTAGTGCAATGTTTGTCGCTTTATCGCTGCTTACTCTTAATACAAGTACCTTTTTTTTTTCTCAACCTAATACAAACTACAACAACAACAAAATATAAACTAACCGAAACACAAACAAAAAAATGAAAACAAAACAAAAAACGAACCAAAACCAAACCCAACTCACTCAACAGCACCTCAGCGATGAGTCTCCTGTACGAGTGCATCAACACGGTGATCGCGGTGCTCATCAGCATCAGCAGCGGCATGCCCAACCACAGTGCCTCCATCCAGCTCTGCGTGCAGAAGCTGCGCATCCTCATCGAGGATTCGGACCAGAACTGTGAGTATTACCTTTCTTAGTTCCCTTACACAGCATGCTTTTTAATCTTTCAATCGTGGTAAAACTTAAGGCTGATTTCCAGTGAGTCTGAAGAATTCGCGTTTCATTATAAGCTAGAATTGGAAGGTTATTTTTCAGTTTATTTGTCTGTTCACTAACTGTTTCTGCTATGGCCCAGCATAGTATTGGAAGTATTGAACAAATACTGATTCATTCCGACTTTCCCAATTTCAGTGAAATATCTTGGACTGTTGGCCATGTCGAAAATCCTGAAGACGCATCCGAAGAGTGTGCAGGCGCACAAGGATCTCATACTCGCCTGCCTGGACGACAAGGACGAATCGATACGTCTGCGCGCCCTGGACCTGCTGTACGGCATGGTCTCGAAGAAGAATCTAATGGAGATTGTAAAGCGACTGCTGGGCCACATGGAGCGGGCAGAGGGATCCGCCTACCGGGACGAATTGCTCTACAAGGTGATCGAGATATGCGCCCAGAGTTCCTATCTCTATGTGACCAACTTCGAGTGGTACCTTACTGTGCTCGTGGAGCTCATCCAACTCGAGGCTGGCTCACGGCATGGCCGCCTCATTGCAGAGCAACTCCTTGACGTGGCCATTCGGGTGCCTGTGGTCCGGCAATTCGCCGTCAACGAGATGACCAATCTGCTGGACACGTTCACCGTTTCGGCGCAAAGCAACTCCATGTACGAGGTGCTCTATGCCGCCGCCTGGATCGTTGGTGAGTTTGCTGGCGAGCTGGAGGATGCGGAGAAGACGCTCAACATCCTGCTTCGGCCGAGGCTACTGCCTGGTCACATCCAGGGTGTCTACGTGCAGAACGTGATCAAGCTATTCGCCCGCCTGGCCACCACGTGTTTGGAGCTTCAGGATCTGCCTGGTTTGGTGACAGTAAGTGCTCCCCCTGACAATTGCAAATGACTGCAAATCACTTCTGAATCCGTATTATCATTTGTAGCTCTGCGACCATGTGCTGGATAAGCTACAGCATTTCAATGGTTCCAGCGACATTGAGGTGCAAGAGCGCGCCAATTCCGCTTGCATGCTGATCGAGATGCTGCGCAACCAGCTGTCCACGTCGACAGATGCCATGGCCATGGACACGACAACGGAGGGCGGCATTCCGCCGCTGGCCATTGAGATTGTCCAGGAGATGACGCTGCTGTTCACAGGCGAGCTGATTCCGGTGGCGCCCAAGGCGCAACGCAAGGTGCCCCTGCCAGATGGCCTGGATCTGGACGAGTGGATTAATGCTCCGCCCCCGGAAGATGCGGCGAGCAGCTCATCCTCGGAGCACGACAAGGACGAGCTATTTGTTAGTGCCTCGCAGGCAGCTTCGGGAGCTGATAGTGGTGGAAAGCGGCGTCAGAGTCTTGAGCTAACGCCCGAGCAACTGGAGCGCCAGCGAATGGCTCGTCTCATTGAGCAGTCGAACAATCCTCACTACCTCAAGTCCACGCCCACGGCGAGTGGGGCCTCGAATGCGGATCAGTATGACAATATAGATGACATACCCATTACGGAACTGCCACTGGACATGGAGGGCGTGGCCGCTCTGCGCGTGGGCAGTAAGTTATCCGCATAGATTATACAACCAGTTACTTTTTTCACACATGATTATCTGTTTGTGCAGTCACCAAGCGATCGGATAAGTACCTCCAGGAACAGCAGGCGGCACAGGGCGGCAAGGATGGCAAGAAGAAACATAAAAAGGGCAAAAAGAGCAAAAAGGCCAAGAATAAAGTGGCGTACAATAGCAGCTCCGAATCGGAAGGTGGTAAGTCGGAGTTAGCAAAAGTATCCCTTTAGGATGGCCTATAACTTTATCACTTTGCAGAGCCGAAACCCTTGCACATTGTGAACACCACGTTGGACATGCCCGAAGGTGTCTCCATGTCGGACAGCGAGGACAAGGATGGCAAATACGATCCAAATGATCCACATCGTGCCCTGGACATTGAATTGGACATGTAATCAAAGAGCTGAGAGCTTCATAGAATTCAAAATGCTAATATTTGTAATACTCTTACAGAACGGACTTCGAAGCGCCCGCGGTGAGGTCCTCGTCCAAAAAGTCAGCGGCGGGCAAAGAGAATCTCAAGACGCCGGCGGAGTCGGCCGCCAAGAAGGATAGGAAAAAGGACAAGGACAGGAAGGCGAAGCGGGAGCATCGGGAAAGCAAGCGGGAACGCAAGGAGGCTGCTGTTCAGCCGGTGATCGATCTCATTGATGCTGACACGCCCACTCCCAGTCCCAGCCACATCTCCGCCCCCAGCAATAATAGCAACGACAACAACAACATTTCAACTATCCTTCCAGATGCCCCCAAGCACCACAAAAAGAAGAAGAACAAGGAGAAGTCGACGGATGGAGCGCCTGATGCACTGGCCACCGCCACCGGTAGCAACATCATTGATGTGGGCGAGCAGGAGGCGTCCGAGGTGGCGTCCAAGGCGCACAAGAAGAAGCATAAAAAGGAGAAGTCGCAGCGCAAGGAGAAGAAGGCTTCCGAATCTGCATCAGCAACCGTATCCGCCATCGTTTCGATCGGCGAATACGAACAGCCACTGGGAATCTCAACGCCCAGCAAAGAGATTTTGTAATTGCTAAGCTCCAAGTTCCACTATTATAATTAACCATTATTACGATTGTTTTTTTGTGTCGATTCATTACGCGTTTATTCGGAAAATAGGAGTGGCGAAGCTAGCTTCCGACTCTCCATTTTCGTTAAGTTGAAACAAATGCCTCCTAAGAAAAAGAAGAAAAACTAAACAAATTATCGCTGCGATATAAAAACAAAACCAACATTGAACAAATTGATATGCTAAAAAATAAATCAACATAAACCGTATATATATATATATAAATAATTATTAATATATAGAAGTGTAAAGTTAATATGTAAAATGCCGCCAGTCTGCCAATTGCGGCTTAAAACATGAAGAAAGCTACAAACGGAAAGGAAATATGAGAAACTGATCAACTGCAAATCAGAATCCAATGCGATGTAGTCTATTCCTGGATACTATCTATTTTTGATGAATTTGTAGCCTAGAGCATGCGATTCCACTAAAAACGCACCCACAAACACAGACAATTATATACCTATAGTTATATAAAATTAAATTTTATAATGAATGCCACACAGAGAGTAGAACAAACCGCATGGATTGTAAAAACAAATGATATATGTATGTATACATGTGAAACCATATGAATCAAATATAAAGTACTGCTATACACCATAATTACTAAAAAAACTGGTACAGAAACGGAACAGAAGCTAAGTGAAATTATACATACATACATGCATATTATATACAAACACCCACACAACCCACATACAAATATATAAACGTTAAATAAATGAAAAGTACAATACAGTTGCATATTGATTTCTTGTTTAACTTGGCTGCGGAAAAAGGGCTTGGTAATTGATCAAATTCGGTAAGAATAAATGCAAAAGTTAAAGTTATCTAATTTTATTTAATAAATAAACATTGGAAAAAAATGAAAATAATCAAATGCCGCTTCCAAAAATAAATAGTACGATGGGTAACACAAATAAAGACAAAATACGTTAAGGTTTTGTTTAATTTGCTTTAAAAATAATTTAGCTTTTGACCTAAGATTACGATTATCTTTCAACAATATTTTTGGAAATTACCAAATTTTTCATGTAAGACAGAAAACCAATATATATAATTCTCATTTGTGTTTGCACTTAAATTTCAGTAGTAATTTCAGTTTGGTTATTTTTAAGTCCGTCAATGCTTTCAAAAAGTATACATTTTTTGAATAAGCAAGGAAAATAAAACAGTTCAATCATGAACACAAGCCAAAAATTCAAATTTACAAATGATTAAACTAGACTTATTTCAATTTCAACCGGTGAAGGCTTTAATTAATAACGTTTATATAACTAGAAAATATCAATTTCGAACAAAAACAAAAAAATCAATTGAAAGTACAAAGACTGTGATGATGAGCACATCCATTTAAAGGAGGTGGTACTTTCCCAGATCGGCATCCCTGCCGTTCATCAAATAGGCGTTGATGGCAATCTGGCTGAGCACCTGGACACCACATTTGTGCAGATAGTCCATGTCCTGGGACGACAGCGGCGCCTTCTTCACATCGACAAAGCAATGGGTGGCACTTTTGGCCACTGGATCTTTGGAAAACGGCGTGCTGGGCTCCAGGATGCAGGCGCCGCCGGCACGCAGCACATTCCTGATGGGCGCCCCGCTCCTCTCGTTCATGCTGAGTATCACCCGGTGATCGGAGAAGGCGCCACCGCCGCACGCACCCAACTCTGTGCGCCAACGATGGACGGCGGCAGCAATGGGCTCCTCCTCCGGTGCCAGGGTGGGCAAGTTAATGGCCTTTGGATTGCCCCACTCGTACAATGTTTCGTCCAGGAAGTGTCCACGCGCATCACACTGTTCGATATACTGGATATTGAGTACCCATTTTCCGGCCGCAATGCAGGCCAGCATCTTCTCACCGCGATTCGGACGCTCGCACAGCAGATGGGTGCAGGCATCGTCATAGTTTACCAGATTCTCGCATACTTTTCCACCCAGTTGGGTGATCCGTTCGATTAGTTCCGCCCGCTTTTCATCATCATCACCGCACGAGATGCTGAAGCACGGAATGCCAGCATACTGCATTTTGGGTGAACCGCCAGAGGATCTCCTCTTTGCCGCATTGAACTCCGCCGGATCGCGCCAGTCGACCATGTCCTCGGTGCCCAGAGCAAAGCCCTCGGACTCGAAGGGCTGCACATACTGCACCTCGCTCTCGCCGCAATCCATGTCGTTGTCGTGGCTGCGCTTCAGGCTGTTCCTCCGCGATTCACAGTTCTTTAGATAGTCAGTGATCTGCTTGACATCTGGGGCCACTGCGGGAATATCTGGGGCGATTACGGGAACGGCCGACTCCTCGAAGCTAATCTTGTCAAAGTTAATGGTGCTTTGACCTTCCTCGCTTAAGTTTGGTCCATCTGATCGCCGTGGCGGTGCTGCATCGTTCGGACTCTGTGTGTTCGGCATGAAGGGGGATAGCGTTCTGCTTCGGGGTGAGCCCGTGGACACCCTGAGTGGCGTCTTTTTACCTACCGATAGCTTGGGTGTTTTCGGTGATCTATCAAAGTTCAGTTTGGTGCCCTGAGCCCTGGCTGGCGGCATCTTCTTTAGCGTTGATGGCGGTTCCGATACGTCTTGCGCCTTAGCACTACTTTCTTCATATTCTATACCCAGAGTTTCGCATGTAATCCGCATCACACGCTGCCTGATGACGGCCAACGGTGTGTCTGGTTTGATTTTCTGGGTCGGCAGGCGCCAGCGCCGCTCAAAATCATCGGCCATCCGCTGCTGGAACTCGGGAGTGAGGCAAAAATCCGGAATTCCTGGGGCTGGTCGTTGATGCTTACGACTGACGGGCGTGCAGGCCTGCCGCCGAATGCGTTCCAGTTCCGGCGTTTGGTTCTCTTGCATCTCACGGATAATCTCGCGCACACAATCCTTGCCCTCATCTGTATCCAGGCGTTGCACGAATTGCTCTAGGAAGTCCAGGTTGTACTTCTGGGCACCCGCCTGGCTGAGTGGCGTGCATGGAGAATCGAGGGAAGGTGTGGAGCTGGTGCTACGACGACGAGCACTGCCCGCGGGTATTCCGGCTAGCTCGGAAACTCTTTTGTTGCGCAGGGGCGTCAGTTCTGGAGCTCCTGCTCCTGGATTGGCAGCAGCAACCGGTGTGACAGATCCCGCCGGTTGGTTCTCCGCCTCCTCCATGGTAACATCTGGTTGGTTCACCAACGTGGACTCATTCGGTCTTCTTGGTGTTCGAGTATTGCTGTCCCGCAAGCGCGGAGATATGGGGAAGTCCTCGGGGCTCTTGCCCACTAAGTGTCCGACGAAGGGCAGCTTCTGGCCAGTACGGGCGCACTGCACCAGCCACTCGGATGTGACCACGGGATAGTTCCACTTAATGGCACCTTCGTACTTTGAGCCCTCGGCACTGGGACACACCAGCAGCGGCTTCTCCTTCTTGATGAAAGTCTTATTGACGGAGGCGCCAAGTAGCTCTGCTGCCGCATTAATAAAGTCCCGCTCCAATCCTGCATAGATGGACACCACAATGGTCATTCCTTTAAGCGGCTGACGCAGTGCAGGAGCTGGCACGTGTTTGTGGTAATATTCGACGGGCAGCAGCTGATTCTTCTTCATGCAGCTTTCCAGGAACAGTTCGGTGACCACATGACGAGCCTTGACGGGTAGTTCCTTCACGTCTAAGGGTACCTCGAAGCTGACGATGGCGAAATCCACTTCATCGGAGAAACTTGATGGCACCAATAAGCCTTGAGCAGCTTCACACTCGGTCAGCATTTGATTAAAGAACTCCTCATTGAAGCACTCCCTGTGCACATAGACAGAGACACCAGCAAAGTAGTCCAGCTTTTCGAAATCAATGGATAGAGTGCTGGCACTGAGGTCGGGCAATGGCATACCCGCAGCAGCAGGATTAGGATTGGCCACCGAGACGGGCGGGCGTATCTCCATTTGGGTGGAACTTGCCGCTGGTTGGAGGAGACTGACATCCGCCGGTGGCAGCTGTGCCACTGCTCCTTGATCCTGTGAGTACTGATCCAGCAAGGTATGATCCGGTTCCTCGTGCTCCTGTTGCTGTACTGCATCCGGTTCCTGATCGAAGAGCTTCTTCTTGATGGGCAATGTTGGCTGCTTGAAGCTGTGGTTCATGGAGCGCAGGGTTCGCTTGCTGGCAGGGGAGGCAACGTCTGGTTCTCGATTTTGTGGCAGCGACACACGATGCACCAACTCATTGACCACGCGACCAGCTCGAATGCTCTCCAGCAGCCAATCTAGGCGCACCACATGAACCGAACCCATGAGACCATCGCGCTGCCACTGCCTGTACTCGGCGTCATCCAGTTGGCCCACAATGATGTGTGAGATGCCCTCGTTGGCCTCATCGTAGCGTGTCGCTCCGCCCGTATTCAGCACTCTGTTTAGCTTTTCCCGCTCCTCTGAGCGAAAGCCACTCAAATACACACAGCAACCATCCAGGAAGGCGCCCGCCTTTTTCGCCTGCCGCGGTTCGATTTCGCTCAGCACCTGCTGGTAGTTTCTGCCACTGCTGGTGGCCTGCTTGAGCAGATCCTTGGCGGGCGAGCTGCTGCCCACACTGCTGACGGATTCGTTGACGGTAGTTAGATCGCTGCACATGCGCCGCGAGCCGGAAATGAAGCTGATCCGTGAGAGATCCGAGAGGTGCGTTTGGTCTGCACCGGGAGCTCCGACCGGACGAGTGCCCTTGGTGGGTGTGGACGACGTCTTGCCAGGCCGCACCTCATAGTCCTTTGTGGGCAGGGCATAGCCGCGCTTGAAGCTATCGAAAATCCATTCCGGCAGCAAGACATCCTTCTTGTAGCGTATGGCCGCCTTATACTTCTCGGTATCCGTTTTTGATTGCTCCGTAATGACGATGTCCACCACCTGGGAGCGGAAGGCGCGATGATAGATGCCTCCATTCTCGTTGACCACCCGCATGACCTGATCCTTGCGCGCCACATCCAATCCACTGCAAGTGATGTTCGCCCCAAAGAAGATGGGCAGACGGTACTTGTCGAAATCAGGATCTGTGGCATTGATACCTTCGCGCTGGCTGCGACGACTCTGATCCCAGACATACTGCACCCAGTCAACGTGCATAACGGGCACTCCGTTCAGCGTGGCCTGCTCGTACTTGCTGGACTTGATGGTGTTCGATATGAGGTGGGTGGTGCGATGCCCAAAACTCTGAAAGTATTTGCCGCCCATCCAGTTTATCAGCTTGCTCAATTCCTCTTTCTTTTGTGGTGTTATGCCCGTGGCCGAGACCTGTAGATCTCTCATCGCCGTGGTGTAGATGGCACTGCTGCCCTCGGGAATGGGTTCACTGCGCCGTAGGCATGTAATCAGGCACGGCGGCCCCAATATCAGAGCTCGCGTCTGCTGCAATTGGTCGAAGAACTCGCCCTCGAACTGGGCCAGTACAAAGACGTCCTTCTTGGTCAGGTTGCCGGCTGCGATCAGGGGATATCCCTCGCTGGGCTTTATTTGCCGGATCTGGGTTTCCGCCAACTGTTGGCCCAGTAGCTCCAGCGACGCCTCGAACTGCTCCAGTGTGTCGGCCTCCTGGCCGCCACCGTCGCCCGGCTTCAGGTTGTTCACGAAGTACGCGCAAATGGTCTCGTCCATGCTCATGCTCATGGTGGCGGTTGCAAGTGTGTTTCCTGCTCCGAGAGGCGCTACAAAACTGCCGTGATTTTCGCACTGCACTTTTGCTTGCGTGCGCTATTTTGGCGCCGTTTGTTGCTGCCTTGAATCCGTTGGCAACGCTGCACTGGAATTCGTTGGCAACATTGTTATCAGCTGTGTGGCAACGCCGGGTTCGATTGTTTAAAATAAATGAATGGGTAAATAATATATTTTCAAGCTATAAGGATTTTATGTTTACTTTACATAAATATATAAACAATTATCGCATATTAGGGTAATACTTCGAAAGTAATCAATTACTTACATTTTCCATTTAAATCATCGATGTAATTTATTTGAAATCGCAATCCAAGCGAAATATCGATAATAACGTCATCGCGCACTGTCGAAGGCAGCTCAGCCCTAAAAGAAAGACAGAAAGAAAGAAGAAAGGAAAGGCAAATAAAAAATAATAGAGACATTGGCCAACTCGGACCAGTCTTGTGGTCACAGGATCCTACTATTTAGGGAGACCACAGCTTTCGCGGGACACAAACACACACACAGCGACCATTTCGCACGGCCAAGTAAACCGCATAAATGAAATGTCATCATGTCATTGTATGTGTGGTGACCAACTGATATAGAATAATAAACTAAACCAGCGCAGAGAAAACTTAAGCCAACAGCTATTTCGGATAGGATTTTCCATAGCCCCGAACCTATCAAATGGGCAACTTTGTCAGCAGACAGAACGCGGCGGTGGAGGAGGCGGATCCGAGCACGAATAATGCCTACAAGTACCCACCGAGAATGGGTAACTTCTTTGGCACCCACTTCATCATGGGCGGGGAGCGCTTCGACACGCCCCAACCGGAATCGTACTTGTTCGGCGAGAATGCGGATCTCAATTTCCTGGGCAATCGGCCCACAGCTTTTCCGTATCCCCCACCGCAGGCCAATGAGCCCACAAAGACCCTAAAGAGTCTGGTTAACATTCGCAAGGAGTCGGTGCGTTTCGTCAAGACGCTGAACGACAAGAAGATGGGCGGTGTACTGGAAAAGCCCAAGATGAAGGAGATTGACCGGGATTTGGATCTGGACAAGGAGAAGTCCAATGTGACCATCGAGGATGTGGATGGAAATGTGCTCTGCTCGATGGGTTTGGGTGGCGGGGATGCCGATTTGACGCCGCCTCCGCCACCCTGCTCTTACAACATCGAGTTCACCTTTGACTCGGACGCCAAGTGCGCCATTACCATTTACTACTTCTGCTCGGAGGACGTCAGTCCCAGCGGCGTGACGCTTGTGCCACGCGAAGGTCTCACCTCGGAGACGTATCACTACGAGAAGGGCATCAATCAGTGCTTCTCGCAGCCGAGTCATGTCTTCAATCCGCAGCAGATGCCCGAGGATGAGCTGGGCTATAGTCCCGGTCGAGAACAGTATCCGGTGGCCATCCACTGTGTGGTGGAGGAGGGCAGCGACGAGTGTCGGCAATCGCACACCACCATCTGTGTGATCGATCATCATCCGGAGAACGGTAGCTATGTGCTCCGTGCACTGAAACAAAAGATCTTTGTGGATGGCTTGTGCTACCTGCTGCAGGAGATCTACGGCATCGAGAACAAGGCAGTGAACAAGACGTCTCTGGACGAGGAGATCGACGATCATGGCAGCGAGTGTGTCATCTGTATGAGTGAGACCAGGGACACGCTCATCCTGCCCTGCCGCCATCTCTGTTTGTGCAATTCGTGTGCGGACTCTCTGCGCTACCAGGCCAACAACTGTCCCATCTGTAGGGCTCCGTTTCGGGCGTTGCTTCAGATCCGTGCTGTCCAGAAGGGAATTAGCACGCATGTGCTGCACCAGAACACGCCCACATCGGGGGCCGGGGAGCCAGCGCCAGTAGATGTGCCGCAGGGATATATTCCAGTCTCACTGATTGAGGCACTCAACGGACCGCCACAGTATGTGGCCAGGGCCAGGTAAGTTATGGTATTAATTAAACCAGGGACGTTGCTAATGCCTGTCTTCCAAATTCAGGAACAGCGAACACGATATCACGGACTCCGCTGCCACCGTGGCCGCTTCGACAATGACCAGTGCTGACATCAAGGCCACATCGCCGATCAAGTCCAGCAGCCAGCGCCGACCGAAGATCAAGAAGAACGCCTCGACGTGTACGTCGACCAGTGAGGTGGGCACCATTACCAATCAATCAGGCGGCGGCAATGGCAACGGGTCATCCACACACTCTGTGGAGATTGAAAGCGATCCGAAGAAATCCAGCACGGCCACCTGTACTTCGCCAACTTTGGGGGCATCGACTTCACCGGAAGGGAAACAGGACAAGCTGCAGATCGTCAACGAACGAAAGTATCCCAGATCCACAGCCGGATCGGGTGGCGATGGCTCTGCGGGTACTGATGACGATGTGGACAGTGAGAACGAGAAGCTATCGCCTCTGCTATCACCCGGCAGCAAGAGCAAGAATGTGTCTAGCAAATCGCTGAAGCAGGTTGTAGCTTGCCTGGAAGCGGATGATGTCGATAATAAGAGCAGCAGTGGCGATGGGCCGACCGATGAGTCCAGCCTGAAGAAGGGTTCGTCGCTGAAGCGCACCAAACCAAGGCCAGAACTTAGCGGAAGCGGGGCACCCTCGCCGTCCGAGGCCACGGCCGAGGATTCGGATTACTACACGCCGGAGGATACTCAGAACTCGATATTAAGCCCACTGTGCCCCACGGAGCGAGCCAAAAGCGGCGATCCCCTTGGTGCCGGTAGCCTTGGCAATGGCGGTCTTAGCGTGGGCAGGAGTGCAGGATCGGTTGGCGGACAAGCTGGAGTGGGACCCGTCGTTGTGGGCTTCAGCAGTGCGGTCAAGAAAAACCTACACAAAAAGTCCACATCGGTGGGCAATATGGTGGGCTCCGGATCGGTGACTACGGTTGTGGATTTGAAGTCTAACAACGTGAGCTCCCTGCCAGGTGGGTTTTTGATTCGGTTTCATATTACCACATGATTAAAGCATATATTTCCTGCCATCCAGACATGTTGGATAGCCCAATCAGCGGGAACTCGGCCTCGACGCGCAGCTCCAGTGATAGCTACTCCTCCAGCTCGTCCACCAAGCAGCTGCTCAGCTCCAATCCGACCACTACGGCGGCCAACATTATCGTGGATGACAAGACAGCTCTGCAGAATGCCGTCAATGTTTAGAGCCGGTCTCAGTTGAATTGTGCGGAATTTTTAGCGTTTCGTTTTCTCGTTTTAGCCTTGCGTTTATTCTATTTATTCGTAGTCACCTAGACTTAGTTAAATCAATGCTGCTTCCCCGCCCGCAGGAACAAATATTTTGAGGATTATAGTTATGATCATGATGATGATGGAGGAGGTGGAGGAGTAGCAAGTAGAAAGGCCACCAGGACACAACACTTAACCAGTATACAGTACATATACACAAGCACCACAGACACGAAAAGACACACGTCCCACATGCATGTGTACGTAGTTTAATCTAGCATAATGGCTTGGGTATATAACAAATAAAATAAAACCAATAAACAACGGCGTCTAGGGCGCTGCATTCCACAGAAAAAATCGAACTAAAGTAGTTAAATGTGCCAATAGGCGGTATGGGTCACTATTAATAGGAAATTTAAATCCAGCTTATATCTATGATGATATTTTTATATTCATCAGGAGTAGCTTGTGAATATGCTTTTTATTAGCAATAAAAAGGTAATTAACTACCAAAATATTACGAAATTGTGATCTTACGACCATAGATCAAATAATTGGTTTTTTTTTATTTATATAGTTGAGTCAGATGTCTAAAATGTTTTTTAAGCTGCAAAAAAAGTACGAACGGTTAAAGTGAAATTAAGAAATATTACGTATACGTGAGCAAAAAAAAATTAGCAACATTCCCTTACCTATTGGGAATGTTGCTAAATTTTTCGTATTGCTTAAAGTTTAAATATTACATTTAGAAGTAACGCTGCACAGCAAGTTTAAATACAACTTTGAATACACTATTTAGGTAAAATGACTTTTGTAAATCGCTATCGATAACACCACCCGCACTATCGAAAGGCGTCGATAGGCCGTTAGGAGCTGCCATCACTAGAGATCACCCTTGGAATTGTCCAATTGGATTTGTTTACCTTTCGCCTGTTTAAGCATTTCTTTTCGGTGGTTTTTTCGCGTGGTAAATTGGCTGCTAGTCGCCGCGTGAATTGTGCGAAGGATCGAGACGGGACGCCAGTTGTTTTGCCGGAGGTACGTAAGCAGGACCTTCTCGTCCTGCTCCCACTTGGTGTCCCCCCAGTTTTCGACCTGCGATTGCCGGACATGTGCGTAGTGTAATTGATTTTTCGGTCAGCGGTCAAGCATTATTTATTTACCAATCTGCCGACCCAAACTTCCCTTTTTCAATTGGTACACATTTCCTCATTTTGTTTGTTTTATTGCAAATCTCAATAGAAAAACTTTCGGCGACAAAAAAAAAACAACACACACACTAGGACTTTCAACATTACATATTTTAGAGATTAACTGTAGGTACAGAGATCGGGATTACATATGCATAAAATAGGCCTATGGTGTTATCAGTTATTTAGTTAATTTTGCTAATCATTTTCTTATTGTTTTTTTACGTAACAAAACGGACGGGAGTAGATTCAATTTGACTAAAATTTTGAACGAAAAACTGGGCGATGCACCTGACGCAGATTCTGGATGTGGTCAATACGCCTAGCTGTCAACTATTTCGGTGCTCCGGTTGACAAAGTTCGGGATTTGCGCTTCTTCAGCTTGGTCTTCACCTTCCGCACCAGATTCACGGTGTCCAGGGAGATGCCAGTTACGGATTTATTGGCCTGAACATTGCCATTGCTTCGCTGGTACTGCATTTGACCGGAGGATGACCCCAAGGCGCCATTGCTGCCCTTGGCCTGCAATCCGGCTGCATTTCTCATCCGCCTGGAGCTTCCACCGGTCATATTGGTCGGCTGCTGCACGGCGGTGATCACCAGACCACCGGTCTTGAACTTATTGGGCGCACGTCCACCGCCATTGCCCTGCATGTGGCCCATCACGCCGGCAGAGTGCATCCGAGCGCCCATAGCTCCCGCTCCAGCTTGGCCCTTGAACAGCATCCGCTGGTGCTGGTGGTGCATATGCTGTGGTGGCTGCTGCTGCTGCTGCTGTACTGTTGATCCTCCGGCACTGTTGCGACTCCGGGCGAATCGAGTCACCAGCTGCGTGGTCTCCGCTATCTTCATCATGCTGCTGGTCTTGCGCTTCACCTTTCCGCCGGACTCGACTGCCACCAAAGCCTGGATGACTTTGGTCTGGCTGGTTCCCGTTGACTTTTTGACCACGTGCATGGGCTTGAAGGCTTGCTGGTCCCGATCCCTAGAATGTGGCGGAGGATCCTCCACCCTCATTAGGCGCTGCGCCGGTTGCAGATGGGAGCGCTTGTACTCCTCCTGTTGCTGCCACAGCAGCAGCTTCTGGGAACAGGCACTGCAAGAGAAAAGGACATTAGAATTGGGATAATATAATTATAGAAGCTTAATGGCGGAATAGCTAGGAAGAAATCCTACACTTACTTGAAGAGATCAACTTGCTCCAGTTTTCTGGGTCTCCGTGGTGCTCCCACATAGGCGGGTGGCATGCCCATGGCGATGCCACCGGATGCAGCTGTCTGCTCCCTGCCACTGGATGTGAAAATGTTTCGGTTCTGACCACCTCCTCCACCTCCACCCACTCCAGTTCCGCCTCCTCCAACACCACCGCCTGCACTTCGTATGGTCGTCGTAGTGTTGGTCACTTGGGATGCTGTTATCGAGTGACCCTTGTACCAGGCCAATGGACGACCATCGGCATCCCCGTGCGCACCAGTCCAGACTTTCTTCTTCAGCGATAGCTTGAGCTGCAGGTCATCGGCCGTTTGCGCATTGCCATGTCTCTGGGGAATGAAGTTGCTCGGGACACTCCTTGAAAGAGACAATCCGTATTAGATTTCGCAAAATGACTGATAGAATGATACCTACCTTCTGGGGGGCGGTTTTGTCATCACCTTAATGGCTGGCTTGGAATCGCCCATGTAAAAGTTGGCCTTGCCCTGACCGCCGCTGTTGCCATTGGGAATCTCTTGCTGATCGAGATTGTGCCACGAATAGGTGCGTCTGGTGGATGTCGCTGTTCCGCCGGCCTGCCGTTGCATCACGCCAATTCCCGTGTCCAATTCTGGCGCAGTTCGAGGCGTCAGCTTGTAGACATCCATCTTCTTCCCACCGCCCGGAGTGCCGCTCTTCGAGGGTGTGGTCACAATCAGTTCCGGCGGCATGTGCGCCGCCTTTGGTTTCTGCACCACCGTATCGCCAATTTCCTCAATGTACCGCCTCTGCAGATCGCTCTGGAGCAGCGTGTGCCGGAGCGGAGCCACTGCACCGTAACCATTTTGTCCGGACGTCGGCGAGTGCTCCTCGTCGTCGGTGGAGAAGTGCAGATCCGAGCCCGGGTCCGTTGTGGGCAGGTCCAGAGTGGTGCGCACCACCTCGCCACGTTTCTTCTGCGGCTTATTTCTTGCCTTAGTGCGACGCGCCTGCGTGGACTAAGTGGTTTAGATGCGGGAGATTTGAGGCGAGATCGGGGAAAAATGATTAAATTAGTTGTGCTTGTGTGCTATGTGGTGCTCATCAATCCCTATATGTGTATAACGCATAAGGAAAACTATCTCTCGAAGTTACTTTTAGCATACTTTTACACTTCTTTCTGTTTGGGCATATACCTTCTTACGACGATAGATGTAGATGCGCCTATTGGCCAGCCACAGCCGGAAATTGCGATCAACGTGCAGTTTCTGATTGACCACCGGCTTCTTCTTCTCCGTGGGCATGAACTTCTTCTTTTTGGTCGTCTTCTTGGTGCCTCCAACAGTGGTCTTCACCTTTCTCGTGATCTCTTTGCTCGTTACGGTGCTAGCGCTTACATAATCCGACTCCTGTAGCGATTCCGATAGCGCGGACTCCATGCTATCTGTACTGTCCGAACTGTGGGCTCCAATCGGCGGAGCACTACTGAATGGCAAGTTCCTGGCCAATTCTCTATGCGGATGCTGTTTCTGGCCATCGTTGGTCTCCACAATGGATCCGCCCGCTGGGACGGCTGAGGCTGGCATGGTTATGCCAACACCAACGGCAGGCCCACCACCTCCGCGAAGGCGTTTCCCATTTGGTGGTGCCGCCTTGACACCCATTTTCTGACGCCTCCTCTTCAAGGTCGTTAGGGTTTTGAATTTCCGCTGGAACAGGGGCGTAAAGTAGATCCTGTCCAGTTCGTGCATCACCTTGCGCATGCGTCGCATGCGAAACTGCAGTTCGGATTGGGGGAGGGTACGGAAATAGGAAATGGAGTGCAAGTGCAGTGCAGGAAAACGAGTGGGACCATCCACTTACCTTGCGAATTTCGTGTATGACCTCAGGCGAACTAGGCGGTGCTCGGGTGGGAGCACAACATGGTCCCTCCAGATCGGACGCCGTTATCGAGTGCTTGCCCTCATTATCCGAACTGGAGCTGCAGTTGCCCTCGTCGCTAATGGGTTGGGCATGATGATGGTGGTAGTAGTACGAGTAGTGGGATTAGTTAAGGTTAGGAGATGATTGGCTGATGGACCCACCTTGAGTAATCCGACAGAGGGATATTCAATGGCTCGTCGGCACTGGAGCCTTCTCGCATCAGTCTTTCGATAATTTTGGATCGTAACCTGTCCTGTTGTTTGAGTAAATTTAAAATCTATTGTAAATGTTAATGCATTTGGATTAGTCAGAAATCATACATTTGCAAAACGGAAAAGAAATAATAATATTTGAAAGAATGTTAGTGTGCAGGATAATCAAGCGAGTCACTAAAAGCATGTGAAAAGCAATACAGCCTAATGGCTAACCAAAAGTCAAAAACGTAAATCCTATGGTAGATATGGTATTTATTTCAAAAAATAATATTTTCCGGTTATAATAATACGATTACGCTTACGACTAGCAACATCGAACGAAACGCGAATCATAGTTAGAGCGACTAGCATAAGATAAAAGACCTCTTGTGCCTGGCGATGCTGTGCTGTGTGCCACTATCTAGTTACGATTGTGCGGGTTCAGGTGGGTGTCATTATATATAGATAGAGCTACAGAGGTAATCTAAGAACCCATTGTGTGGATAGATAACCTAGCCACACAGCTGGGTGCTCAAAAACATTAGAAAAACTGCGATACGCGCAAATAGAGAGCATTAAAATTCATACAATTCAATGCCTCACATACATGCATCCCCGATTGGACAACATATGCGTACGGTATATGCCCAGATATACGTTAAGCTATATCTGCCATATAACTTTGGCCGATGTGTAATTGTTGTGTTGCATTGTATTGACAAGAATGTTGATGGCATGGGCTTGGGATTTGAATTCTGGGTCAGCACAGCAGCGCTTTAGTGACAAAACGCAGGCAGCGACGAGTTGGTAACAATAATTGCGATTACAATTACTTTACGCGATAAACGACATACGATTTACGATTAACAATTTACGATTTACGACTTGCGATTTACGATTATAATTGAAGAACGATAAAAACGGCACAAATTGACGTGTTTGTTTTGGTTTTAGGGCTGTGTGGATCGAAAGTGGTATTGGGGACTAGTATTGTTGGGATAGAACCTTCCTAGGAGACACTTTTCTCCACAGAACGTTTCACTTTCAATTTGTCGTTCATTATACATCCCTGATCGGCCATTTTCTGTAATTTCAATGCTTTCTGTTCGCGTTTCTCGCGTTTTCTTATCTTTTTGATTTGTTTAAACAACTTTGCGTGCCGCTTTACTTTGTTCGGATTCTCATCGCAGTAGTCCAGAAGTGTCTCACAAAATGCTCGTCCCATGTGCTCGTAATCCTGAAAGACACGTAGTATTCAATGCGACAATAGTCCGAGTACACGAGTTAGGTGAATGGCTATGGAACGCACCTGCGTGTTGAAGTGCGTCCCCTTGCGCGATCCAAGCGAGGAGCCGCCAAAGGAGGCCTCGATCGTGTAGCTGTTGGTGATGCCCAGCATCCAGACCACGATGCGTCCGGTGCCCTCCTTACTGCGCTGGATCTTGAACTTGCAGCTCTCGAAGGAGAACTGCGATGGGGTGAGATACTCGATCAGCACATAGTACCCACTGGTTACCCATAATACCCACCCGATCGGCGCTGTTCTTGTGCAGCATCAGCGGAAAGACCTGCTCGGTTAGCTTCTTCTCCGGGTTGCGCTTGTTCTCACAGCCATATATGAATATGTTGTGCTTTCGTGAGTGGGCGTGCATATCACAGTACATGGCCACGCCGCATTCCTCAATCAGTCTGTAATTGGCAAATGATGGCAGTGAATGTAGCTAACCAGATAATAACATAGGTGGCGAAATGGGTCACACTTCCTCTGGATTGCAGCTCTCTATGGCTCAATCTGTTTGAACTCACCTTCTAATCATGGCTTTGGTATACCAAATGGATGGATATGTCTCGCGTATTACCGTTCGGTACTGGCGGTTGAGGTCCTTGCCGGTCAGCGAGTTGCGTGTGTTGCCCACAATGACTCCGTCCGGATTCAGCATGGGCACCAATTTGAAAATGAACTTGTGCCGCAGCCGCTTGGCCACTGTGGTGTCCCCAGTGATGAAGTCCATCAGGCCCTTCATCATCCACGAGGCTGGCGTCTCGCTGGGATGCACACGTGCCGACACCACAATCGATTTCTTGCGCTAAATTTGTACGGAAACATGAGAAATTTAACATACACCTCAGATGGAACAATATACGAGTGTGTAGCTGCATGGAACATAATTCCAATTGCTCATTATAACTTTAACTGTTTGCCCGCATAATTAATGGGTGTAGTATCTAAGCACTTTGTTTGTGCGGGAGTTGCGAAAAGTTTGTCTGCAGTTTAATTGCCATGAGATAGATGAGTTTGGTCTACCAGCTCACCCGCATGTTCTCCTCGTTGGAGGAGGGCGCCGTCACCGTCAGGTAGTAGACATTATTGCCAGCCAAGGTGCGGCAGAGCAGGCGCAGCTTGCAGAACTTTGACTTGACCGGATGGCGCTGGATCTCCATGAGGTAGTCCTGCAGGTCGCTATAGGTGTACGGATAGCTGTGCGCGAAGAACACCGTATCGTCGTCGTGCTCAAACTCAATGGTGAAGGTCAGCGTGTACGTGGAGTTGTCCTCGTCGTCCTCGTTGGCGCTGTTGCTGGCACTTCTGGTGGGGAATAAGGGAATAAGCCAGTTAAAAGTGCAGCTCAACTGCGGCCACTTTCATATTCAACCCTCTCAGATTTCTCTAGAGATTTGTTGTCTCAGTTTTCACTTCCGAATCGGGTTAACCCCATACTTACTCATCATCGTTCCGATAGTAGCAAATGTTATCGCCGCATCTCCGCCAGCCTTCGCTCTTCTCCTTGGCGCCCAGCGTGGAGTACATGACCGGCTGCATACCGTCGTTGTAGAGACTATCCGACTTGACCAGATTGACAATGGAGAAGCGGTAGAGCATCTTGCGCCTGGTGCGCCGCACACGGAAGTAGAACCACTGCTTGGACCGGCTGGTGTAGAGATCGGGTCGCAGGTAGAGCTCGTAGTAGGTGGGCGTGATTTGGACCGCCTTGGCTAGGTTGCCGCTCTCGAAGCGCGATTCAAACTCCAGTCCATCGTACTCCTCCGGATTCATGGGATGGCAATTGGTCATGAAGCGGGCACCACCGACGGCCGAACGGCTGAACTGCGCTTGGGGTAAATCGGAGCAGAGAAACGATTGCGACGAGTTGGTCGTCGTCGTCTGGTTAGTACTTGTCGATGAGATCACGGTGCTGGTCGTCTCCTGGCTGGTCATCGAATTCAGCAATAGATGCTGATCCTTGCTCAGCCGGAAGACGTTGTTGCTGACGGGAGAGGAGGTGCGAGTGCCCATCGAGCTTGTGCCAGTTGTGCCCACTCCCAATCCCACACTCTGTTCGTCCTTGCTACCCAGGCAACTGTTCTTGTCCCGGTGGCGCGCCCTGGCCAGAGCCGCTGCCGCCGCCGCCACTGTGTCCGCATGGGTTTGGGGTACCGCTCGCCGGGGGGATCGCGCTTGCGACTTGCGACTCCTGGAGCGCATATGGTCTTGCCGATGCAGACCTTTAGCTGGGGGGAATGGGTGTCATTGTTGGGATTCTAACAGTTCGGACAGGTTTCCATGTAGTGAAAGCTCTATCTAGGGAAAGTAAGTTTGATATGCAGTACTATTTCCTTAAGCTTTCCCTTCAATAAAGCTTTCACTTTGCAAACCTCAAGGTCATTAAGTTGAAGCGACCTAGGATCTAGATCTTTGATTCTGTTTCAAAAGCAATCACTTGTACGATATTAAAAAGAGGTTAAAGTCGCTGCAACTAAGTGGCCCATTTGCAATATGCTCACAGCAAGCCAGCCTGCTCCTGCTCTCGTCTCCCACCAATGTTTCGGTATCCGAAACGGATCCGGAACCGGGACAGGGGCGCTTTTCGGCGCCACCTGCTAGTCGGGCCGAGTAGCTTCCCAAGATTCTGCGCAAGCCACCGCCACTTCCCGAATCGGATCCCGAGTCGGAATCATCATCCTCATCCTCCTCCTCTTCCTCCTCATCCTCCTCCTCTTCTTCATCGCCCAAACCAGAGCTACTGGTGTCCTCCTCAGAGGTGCTTTCCCTACGGCGATGACTGCCACCCGTTTGCCTACCCAAGATTCCCGTTTTGAAACGCGATTCGGCACTTCGCTCGAAGGCCACCTCTAAGCGGGCCATATTTGTTTTGGGCAACTTGACGGGGCCTACGACGAACTGGTTCGATACCTTTTGAGATCCCGATGCCGGGACCAGATCCTTGTGATCCACGATCCGGTCGATCATCGCCTTGGCCACATTCTTCCCGAACTGACTGAGCACATAGCGCGGCGAGGCGGGCTTATATTCGCTGGTGTTGTTCTTCCAGATATCGTCGATATCGCTGGGATCTTTGCTGGCCTCCGAACGGCTGGCGGTACCACCACCTGCGGGTGTGACCGTCTCCTCCTCCTGGTAGCGCTTCTTCTTCGCCTCGATGAGATCCTTGATGATTGCCTTCTCCTTGGCCTCGCCACTTCCGCCACAATAACCGCCAGAGGTGTCGTATTCGTCATCGTAATAGTCATCGTTGTCGTCTAGCGACGCACTGGTGGACCGATTGTCCACATTGTTGATCATCTTGGACACGCTGCTCAATTTTCCAGGGGCACAGCCACCGCCGCCCGCCAGCCGCATGGGCGTGGACCGGCTCGGAGGCGTCGAATCCTGGTGGGAGTCCGATGAATAGTCCGACTCGTCGCTGGACTCATCGTCCTCCTTCTTCGCCTTGGGCTTTTCCTGTATGGTTTTTGTCGTAGCCTTTAGTTTTAACATTCTTACATGTCCGCGAAAGTGGGTTAGTTTCAAATCTCCCCATATGTTTTTAATGGATACACGATTCCCCCTAACTGGTTAGTGCAGGTGCAAAGTGCATGTCAATCTGATTGTTTGATTTGAAAATACATTGAAATTGTTTCCATCGCATCAATGGGATTTGCAAATCAAAATCGAGCGAATCTCTCGAAAGTAGAGCTTAAAGTACAGTCTGCAGATACTCACATAGTTCACGGCGCTGATGGGACTGTAGCTGAACACCACAATGCCGTTCTCCTCGCCCACGGGACGCGGTTTCAGCTCGTTTCCCGTCGGAGCATTGAGCGGCTCCGGAACAGCGGGCACGTACGGAATGTGTGTGATGCGCTCCTCGATGACCTGGATGGGAAGAGAGGGAGTCGGGAGATATACTCGTGGTTAGTACAAAGAACACCGCTGGCATAATAATTGGAAAAGCCCTAAAACGCGAATTCTCCGCGTTTAATAACTGAACGTAGTTCAGTTTATGGCAACAGCATTTGTTCTTCACTGAGTACAGCAAATTTGATTTATTTATCGATCCCAATCGAAATGAAATCGCTTTTGATTAGAGTAATTAATAGTTCCGACCATTACGGCGACACCTGTTATTCTTTCAAAGTCTCGTTAATTACAATCAGTGATATTTGAATTTCAATGGACAGATGTTTCTCGCCATGGCAGTTCTCATCGTTTGGTGTTTGTTGTCCTTGGCAAGGAAACTGGCGAACGTCAGTCAGAGTTATTATTACATTTAAACTCCATGTCACCAACGATGATTTGCTTTGTGCCCGGTCCCAGCTGCCCACTGATTGTCAAGCCCCCATGCGAAGCCCCATACTCATTCCATCTTCCATTTGGACTGTCCTCAGTTGAGGCTTTGCTGTCATTCTACTGTCCTACTGATTTTGCCGTCGCTGTAATTCCGCCCACAAGCTTGAGCAGCTTATTTGCTTAGCCTTTTGATATGCTTACACATGTAAGACGTGCACAGTGGGGCGATAACTATTGCAAATGGGTAATAGTTACTGAGAAAATCGGGCTTAATAGATTTGAACTTGAAGTTTACTGTTTTAGTTTACCTGCAGCACAGGTCTATTATGTGAATATCACTCATACGCAATGTGGTCTCATAAACATGTAATTGGCATAGAAGCGCGTTTTTCATATTTGAACTATAAATATCAAGCATATATATGCTGAACAAACGAATAAACATTTGTCATCTTTTGGCAGACATGGCGTATGAGTACTTTCTATTCAGCTTTCTGTTTTTCTTTAAGACCTTCAATAAACAATAGCATAAGACTGCCCAGTTAGGCTAACCTACCAGTTTCCCAAAGCTTTACGTATTTAAAAACTATTAAGTGTTTGAAAAATATTTTTGCCTAAATATTTGCAAGGTTTTTTTCATTTTCCGCTTACTGTGCAAAAAACAGGACGATAAAACATGCAAATCTGATACTCAAACTCACTCACACACCCACACACACACAAACAGCGACTTGCAGACATTTGTGTCTGTGTGTCTGTGTGTCTGTGTGATGGCTTAATTGAAACATATCAACGTCACTTTTTGCAACAATCCCCCTCTCTTTCTACGACTGCTACAGCCGTCTCCTTCCCACTCTCCCCCTTGGGCTCTCTATTTACATATTTTGCTCACATTTTTCGGCATTATTTATTTATGCTGCGATTTTGCATGTACGATATCACAAACTAATTAGCTTGTTTATTCTACCCTACGAATTCCGTCTGCCTTCTGTCGCTTTCAGTTAATATGACCCTCTCGTTTTCCTGGTATTGAAAATTCGCAAAAAATAAAACCGAAGCAAAAATAAAAGCAAACTTTTTCATGCCCATTGCCAATGCCAGTGTCATTGTGGCAACAACAACAACAACAACAACAACGACAACGACAGCAACAACAATTACAACAAAGGAATCAAGTCGACACCGAAGGCGCTTTTCGAATTTCACTTTTTATTTGAGTTTGCATTTTGGACGTCATGGCCAAAAGGCCAAATAAAGACGAATAAGGCAAACGAAAGACGTTTCCCCCGAAAAACTTTCTTGGCTTATTATTATTTATGTGTGTATTTTTGGTCTTTTAATTGCATTTACAGTTTGCCGAGTGTGAGTGTGTGTGTGTGTGCGCTTGTGTGCTTGGAACCTAAAAAAAGCGACTTAACGGTAAAGCGGCGAAGGTGAAGTGCGAGCGGGACAGCGACAGCCAATGTGGTGAGTTTGAATTTTTAAATTTTAAATGCGACAAGGATTTAAGCCAAGAAATAACTCAAATATTTCGAACTGTTTTTTCACATAAACTGTACATATACATTAAAATTCAATTTAGTTGTTGCAATATTCCATTTTTTTCGTTTGCATTTGAAGCCATGTTAATTGACAAGAAAATGCTGGTCTGCCTTTGTTTTTTTACGATTCATTCGAATTGCGCCACAAATTGACCTCCAATTGATTTATTTGCCACCCGCCTCCCCCTTGTGGCCGTCTATTTAATCAATCAGTTGGCCAATCTCTTGCTTGACCCCTGCAAAGCCTTCCTCATACTGAAAACCCCCGTAAACCCAACAAACCCCGCAAGAATCCCACCGCCTAACAGTTCCCATAAATCGCATTCATTCAACGACCGACGGGGCGTATGGGTGATGTGTAATATTTGCCCAACACTATTTGGCAGCGCATCGAATGCAGATCGAGTACAAATGAATAAAATCGATTGTTAACAATGCTAACGACTTGGCCAACAATTAGGAAAAGCGCAAAACAAAAAAAAATATAAAAAAGAGCTAAATACAACAAAGGAAAAACAAATAAATAAAATTCAAAGCGGAAACGAAAGGATTTTCAATGCACTTGGCGAGCGTTTACCGCATGCCATGGGTTAAGCGGGGGCGGCAGTGGGCGTGGCCTAGTGTGTGCACCTTTTATTGCAATTTGACCTACATAGAGGCAAGATGGTTGAGGGACACTACAGTCCCGCTCGCCTAAGTCGAACTTCAGCCCGTCACAGTCTGGCAAATTTATAATTAATTACGTAGGCGAACTTTGTTAATTGCCAATGTGCTTAAAACTTTCATAAACCTTCCTCCCAGCACTAATTCATATATAAACTGAGCGAACCTAAAGTTCGACATAGCCAAGTTGGCCTGTAATGTCTTCGCATTTGCGGCAGCTCCTTTAAAGGTCTTCACCCCATTAAGCCTCTGCCAGTCGGATTTTTATATGCATTAATATTTATGGGGCGCGGCACGCATGTCCTGCGATTTCCTCGCAAACGAGGTGCGTGTCAAAGGCATTGAAGCTCATCCCCCTATATGCTCGGTAAGAATCTAGGACACCTCTGCCTTAGCCACGTCCCATCTACGTCCATGTCCATCAACGGCTCCTCGATGGGTGCATTGATTGGGTTTGGGTTTGGGGCTTGGCGACTTGGCGGCTTGGAATTGCGATTGAGGTTGGCCGCAAAGTATAACCCTGGCCAACTGCCACTCCACTCAATCCACTCACTCACCTGGCATTCCACCGGCCATCTGGGGGCCTGCTGTGAGCAGTCATTGTCCTTGTCCTTCGGCAGGGCGAAGAGATCGCGCGGTTCCTTCAGACGTGCAACTGGTCGCAGGGTCTTCTCATCCGTATTCACAACCAGCTGATTGGTCTTCAGGCCCTTCGATAGGAAACTGCCAAGGAAGCCTGCAAGACAGGATATCAGGGAAAGAGCTTAATCAACAGAAACAAGGCCTTTTAAAATAGTTGAGAAACAAAATAGGATAATTATTCCCAAATAAAGACATAATATACCACCTATTGAAACCGATTTAAAGATATTTTCTTGAAGAATTTGTTTGTGAATAATTTATATGTATATTATCTGCAATTTCTTTTACTGGGTTTGCCTGCAAGGCATTGCAACTCCATTTATACCTGTTTAATCGCTTTAATGGCTTTTCATCTGGGGTTTGAGCTACTGGACACTTCTTGATTTTGCCAAACTAATGACCGTATCCTTTGGAACACAAATCGCGTACCTTACAGTATTGCGTAATTTTGTCAACGGAAAACCAAGAAACTCAATTTGCTCCCGATTTAAAAACGAACTGTGATGTGATGTTCAACTCAAGGCCTGTGTGTTTATGAGGGAATGCGATGGGATACAGTGGGTCAGCAATTATATAAACATTTGTCGTGCCAAAAAGTTTGCCTCTTCTCCAGTTTTAAAATGTTTAGTTTGGATAGGCGCAGCAGCGAATCGCCATTAATATTGGCCTAAATGAGCAGCATTTCGGGCGACTTTTGTCAACAACAATTAATTGCCATGATGCGCGGGGGAAGTCCCCCACATTATTTTCCACTAAAGTTTTGTGTGTGCAAAAGATATTTCGCTTTCAGTTCGCGCTTTTTGGAACGCGTTCCTATTCTTTCTTTTCTGCACCACCACTGCAACATATTTTGTTAATTAATTTTTGGTTTCTTTCTTGCTTTCTTTGTGTGTCTGCTTATTCGGTTTTTATTAGCACATAAAAGCCGATTTTGTTATCGTTGCTTTTTGTTTTTTTTCTGCCATGTTTTGTGCTCCTTGTTGGCTTCTTTTATTGCAATTTTTCGCTGGAAAAGCGGAAAATATGGGGGGTGGGCTAATGCTTGGCAACTGTAAATCTTTTGGGGCTTCCAGAGAAAAGTTTTTCCCCAGCAGCCAACCATTTAGATCCTGTCAAGTCGATTAATATCGCTAATAATATTCGGTTCTTTTACTTTTTATGTTTATGACCCAAGGCAGTTTTCATTGATATGGATGTGGCTTATGCTCGCCATAATTTCAAGCCCATAACATTTTTGTCGCGTGGCTTTTACAAACTTGTTCTACATCAGAATTGAGAAAGGCTCGTAAATATATTATTCACAAAAGAAATGCAACAAATCCAACCAGGAAATCCAATAATACAACGAAATGTCAAGCAGTAAAAACCGAAAAAAGAAAATCGAATTTAATGGGATGCGAATTTGTATAATGTGAAGAGTTGTGAAGTAGAAATATTGGTATGTTTAATTATATCGGACATAATAGATTGTTCAAAACGGTGTTTTTATATTCTATTAATCCCTAGCGGTTCCAATAACCCAAAAACTTTTAAGTTTATTATTAAGAGTTTGTGGGGGATCTTCTGGCAATTATTTTGGGAACTTGTCGAGGGGATTATTCAGTTGATTTTTCAGTGGAAGCACTTGAGCACAAGTATGTCAAATTGCTCATGGCTCATTTTGAATGGTTCTATGTGAATGCACTGCAAGAAGTGTTTATTTACAAAAAACTGAGACTGTTGCAATGCTAATACATATTTAGCAACAACATTTTGACTAGAACTGTATTAAAAATATCTAGATAAGATTGTAAGATAGTAGTATAAATAGATAAAGAATATTGCAGTGTAACCCAATGCTAAGACATTTGTCAATTGAAAGATTTGTCGATGTAAATTTATAAGTATGCAAGATTAAATGTGATTATTGTTTTGCATGAAATATAGTAAGTTTAGATGGAGAATCTAGTTCTTCAGATTTTACTACCAATGCGCGTATTATTTGCGCTCAGTGTAACCCCAAGAAATGTTCTTACCGGCACAGAATTTAGAACTCGCTCCTCCAAACGATCTCGAAAACGCGAAAAGGAACACGGGCGATAAAAGCGAAACGAAAACAGAAGTAGACGCTAAATGTGGTGGGTGGCGGAGGCGGCGAAAGAGGGGACGGCACTCACACAGCTGTTCGTATTAGCTGATATTTTGTTATTCTTTCGAACAACGATGTTCAAAATTTGTGGCACTCGAACAAACAGAAAACAATAAAACAAATCTAAAATGTGACAATATAAAACCAATATATGGCGGCACACTTTTCAAATATTTGAAGGGTATTTAAATGTTTTGATGTATAGTTTTCAAAATTCTTTTTTTTTTGGCGTCTTCAATTTGGAGTTTTCTTGATTTTCCTTTAAAAGTATGATTACGTTTCGAATTTGTTATATTACAATTTTGTCTTTTGGGATTTCGAATGCGTTTTCTTTGTATTTTTTGTTTTGTCGTTTGCCGTTGCGCGTTTTGTTGTTGACTAAAACAGAAAACCCAAGCGAATGTGGAATGCTCAGCTCTGTCGCCGCGCTGCCGACGTCACTGTCGGCGTCGCTGCCTGCGAATATTATTTAATGCGAAAGAGCAGGAGGTATCGCACAGGAGAGGGCTGGGGTGGCATACAAGGAAAGAGAGAGAGAGAGAGTGGGAGAGAGCTTTTGCACTTTCGCTGACGACGCAAGTTTCGCGCTCAGCTGTTCTCGCCTTACCGTTATCCTGCGCGCGTGTGTGTGGGTGTTTGTATGGCTGCCATTGTTATTGTTTGGTGGAGCTTTCGTTCAAAGTTTCGCAGCTACAGCTGTTCCTTGCCCTTTTTTTGTATGTGTGTGTGAGGGAGCAAAAGGACTTCTGTGCGTAGGTGATCTTCAGTTCATATTGCTAATGTACAAATGTGTTGCGCTAACACCAGAACCGTTTACCGTTTTGGCCAAAATAGTGTCGCAAATATATAATAGCACACTTCGTTGAGCTCGCAATTGAATTCCCAATCGATTTGCAAATTTTAATTTTATGCCATTTCTTGCCAATTATGACGATGTTTCCCTTTACAAAAATGCGATAATGTACCCAAAATTTTATTTTTATAAACCATTCAAAAAGTTGTATAAGTAGTTACCATAGTTAGCTATTCAAGACAGTCTTTGTTTTGAATTTATGTCCATTTATGGAAATATAGTATTTATTTGTTGTTAAAAGTCGTTTTTCAGATTCTCCGTCAAAAAAAGGTGTACATCAGTCAAAGGATTTAAAAACTTATCACTCCTCTGTACTTCGAGTCGCGCTTATCCTTGAGCTGTGCCCACAAAACCATTTTCTCCACTCGACTACTTCAGCTGCACTTTTAAATGGAATGACAAAGCTCAATCGGCGACCTTGACCTTTCTCCCCACGCAACCCCACCTGCACATGTGGTTTTTGTGGCTTTTTGTTACTGTTGGTTTTGGACTGCAATTTGGCGAGCTTTTAAATGTCATTTGTCGCCAGGAATTGCACACATGAAATTTCGTTTGGAACAGAGATAAAGAAAGTAAATACAGTAAAATGCCGTGAAAGCTTATTTAAGCAATGAATTTTTCATAGGAATTCATTTGGATACCAAACCGATTCGCTTGTTTGGCCAAATAGACAAGGGCAAACATTTAGCGTTCATTCATGGGAAAAGTAAAAAGAGAAAGGGGAAATCAGGAGAAAGGGCTAGCAAATAGAAAGCTCGGGCTCTCTGTGCTTTAAATTGTTTCAATTGTTGCGCCAAGGCGATTGTCGTCTGCCGAAAACGACAGCAAGAATTTGGCGTTAATTAAATTTTTATGCTCAAATGCAGGCGGCAATCGAGAGGCAGAGATCTGCGCACCGATCGCCTCTAATTGCGGGCTGTTGCATATTATTTACTTAAATTGTATTATTATTCGTAATATTTATGGCATTTTGTTTATCCCAATCGCAGGCATTCGGCCAATGCCTTTGTGGCCAGACCGCCAAAACCACGGTAGATCCCAAAAACCGAGTCGCTCCCCACAATATTTCACAATTTTTATTCGGCATTTTTTCTCGCCCGTCTGCCTAGGCCATTTTTGAAATCTTTTTTTCCGTTGATGAGTTTGCAATTTGCATTCTCGTGAAATTTGTTTAATACATTTCGTTGTTACATTTTCTTTGTTCGCCATTTTTCCAGACGCTTTTATGGCATTGCTCCCCAGATCGTTCTATATATGAAATACCCCTTGTTTCGGGGAATATACGTTCCTAGTGTGAGCTTGTAACCGACATGCAGTTGGGAACTAATATATTTTCAGAAGATTTAAAAAAAAAAGAAAGATGCATCAACACGATATCTGATTATTGAGTACAAATATTGCATTTCCCTAGTTGGTAATGACAATTAATTAGGAATTATTAATTAATAAACTCACATCCTTTGGATGTTTGGCACGGCAACTACAATAACCTAGATCCATATAATTGCGCCCGTTTTTCTAAGGGATTTCCCGAATCGAGTTCACCTGCGATTTTCCGACTTTTCCAAGTCACCTGCAGCAATTCGGTTTGTATGGAATTGATATGCACCGATTATCACAGCCAAGCGAAAATTCCACGCTGGAAGTATTAAAACAGTCGAGGGCTCAATTCAATGAACATTAATGAGTTTACTGTCTCTGAGTTTTTGGGGTCCCAGGCTGTGATTTATGCAGGTGAAACATCGTTAATCGCAATTCAATGAACTGAAATGACTTCGGATACCCCCTATTATTCATATAGACTCCGTTCTTGGTTGACAACAGGCAACGACTTGGCTTTGATTTCCCAATTGCGATTCCGGAATTTCTGTGTTAATGATTTTGTGTTGCCGTTGTCATGACAGCCGCAAGTGGCTGCTAAAATCAAACAGTTTTGCGGCTAATTCTAATTTCAATTTATCCGCACTTTATCCGATTTCAGGTGGGCCAAGAAGTGAGGAAGAAGGAAGGAAGGAAGAACGAAAGGCGGAAAGTAAGAAGGAAAAAAGGTTGCAAACGAACAACGATTCACAACGATATTTTCCTACGGGCAGGCGGATAATAAAAGCCCAACATTCAACAAATTCCCCATGCTGGTCATGTAGTACAGTAAACTACCCATAACAGCAACAACCTAACGAACGACAACACCGAGGTGCCCTTAGACAATCTATTCGTACAAGAGAAACAACAAACTCAACTAAGAACAAATTGAAAGTAAGTATTTGACTAATTGTTAAAAACTTTTGTATACATAAGATGGCAATCGGTTCGGAATTATGGAACTCTTTGATTTTAGTAACTTGTTTTCTAGTCATTGATTGCAGTCGATATATTATTATATGAAACTCTGGCTTCAGTTACAGAAGTCTTACTGTACTTATATCTTGTGGGAAGAGGCTCAAGCTAATAGTAAAAAGTAAAACGCCATTTAGACAGACAAGTTCTAACACTAAAAACACAAACAATATATAAAATATAAGGTATATATGTATATATATATGATATATACATATATATATAGTACACAATAACATAACTAAAGGGAAAACATGTTTTGATTTATCTGTTTTCAGATTTTCAAGACATTATTTTTCCTAATGAACTAATAAAGTCATATTACTGCTAAATTTGATTAAATAAGATCACTTAAAACGAGAATTTTGAATAGGAATGAATGAATGTATAGTATATTCCTGAAGAACACGATCCATTACCTCCACTGGACGTGGTCAGCGTGCAGACGGGAAATAGCTGGGCCTGCAGGAACTGCACGCGACCGCCTCCGAAGTCCATGGTATATATAGTATTTCGATTCCTACGGCATTATGACGGGGAATGCGGTATTGGGATCGGACTCAAATGGGAGCACAGACTGTTGATTGATTCACTACCGCGCTTCACTTGCTTTTGGCACACATTGAAAAAATGCAAACCACTCGGATGTATCCTTTACACTAGGTCCTTATGCAATCGCTATGAAAGGCGGCTATAGGCGGCATTATTCCTGGTATTCACACACCGATTCCGACTCTGCGATACTAAGACAGTGCGAAGTTTTGTTGTGGCTCTTTGTAAGGCTCGATTCGCATTGCGTCGTCAATTGATAACCACCGATTTGGCCAAACTGAGCCGCAGTCGATGATTCGAGCCGTTGTGAGCCAACTCGAATTTCCACTGCGACTGTTATAAACAAATAAACAAAGCCTCGCCAGTTCTCGCTCTTTCTCTCTCTCTCTCTGCCAATCCTCGTTGTCTAATGTTCCAAGGAAGTGCAAGGCAGTAGTCCTGGCACTCCACACATACCCATGCACTTCATATCTATGAGCCATCTACCATCCTAACCATCCCATGTTTCTATCCATCCATGGCATGCCGTGAACATGAATTCGATTCGATGGCTCAAACAAAGCCAAAGCCAAAGGCAACCAGCCTTGGATACGCCAAAAAAAAAATTGGAAAAACTAACGAACACAGCTCGTGGAATTTTTGTGCATATTCTAACGAGCAACAAATGTTTGCCGAAGGTGGAGCGAATCACGGATACGAGTATCTCCAGGTCACGTTTACACCAAACACTATATACATACATAGTTTGTTTGCGAAGCGTCGAGATAATTCCAGTTAGGAGCAGATGAAATGTGTTATTAAGCGGTTTTATAAACGATCAATTCGAATTATGGGGCTTACAAATTATGAAATTCGAACCTCTGTAGCTCGTACTTCTTTTCAAAATATTTATGTATATCAAATGCAATCTATGTAAGGTTATAAATGCTTGTATTCATTTCATTGCCATTTTTGTTTTGGAAAAGCATTTAGAAGATCAGCTGCTTTCGGTTTAAGCAATTTTCTCATAGATAGAAAAGCCAGGCATAAAAATAAAATAGTCGCAGATAAATAGAAAAATTTAAAGGAAAATCGAAAAAATCAAAGCACAGCCTCGGTGCCAAAACAAATTTGTCAAAGTCGCTCCTCCTCGGCATAGGAAAAGCGTTGGTAAGGCGGGAGGGGAAAATCAGGGGAATGGCGAGAGGGGTGCAACACCGTGGGAAAGTTTTACTAGAAGTGAAAAGGGGGAAGGGGGAAGGGGGCTGGTGAGTGAGGAAGAAGCAGCAGCTGTCAGCTGCCTACGCGGACACAAAACGAACAGGTGTCAAAGAGCGAGAGGAGAGAGCAAAGCGAGAGGAACAAACTTTTAATCAGTCGCTCCCTATCGTCCTCCCTTCTCTCTATCTGTATCTCTACCTTTATCTTTCTCTTTCTCCTCCTTCTCGTCTTCCCTTCATTTTCTATTTCTTTCTGCCTATGAGATTATGTCATCGAAGTGGATGAGCAGCGGGAAGAAGCAGATAAGCCATAAAAGGTGAAGAATGCCGAATGCGGTATACCCTTCTGCCTTAAGATCTTCGAAAACCTTAAGATTCCTATGATCAAAACCCAAAATAAGCGAAAAACTAGTTAGCCTAAGTTTTAAAAATAAGAAACTTGTGTGAATGAATACATTCTTGTTGCTTAATTCCTTTACAAAGCCTAAGATCATCGCGCTATAAAATGCAATAATATCCCACAGAAGAGTATTTTTGAAAGAAAAAGCTGCAGCAGCGATAAAAGCAACAGCAATGATCTTGATCGTGCAATTTATGTGTTTTCTATTTTGGCAAGACGCCGTGACTGCCAAGGCGAAAAGAAGACTCTCTAACCGAACCGTAAACGCATGCCGTCCTCCTCCTGACCCCGCAGAACTGCTCCTTTGTCCATTTTCCCCGCTTTTCGCCGATTTCCCCCCCTTTCCCCACCCCCCATTTGCAAGACCCTGCGCCGCTTGGCCCTCGTCAATCATCGAATTGTGCCAGCGATTAGCTTTCGCCACCCCATCCTCCGATTTGTCCGCCAAGAACTTTTCCCACTTTCCGATTCTACAGTGAATAACGCACTCAGCCTATTTGATTTCACAACTCTTTTCAAAGACATACAAGTATATGTATGCATATTATAATAACCAGATATATTTAAAATGGTTATAAGCATACAATAAATGATCTTTTAGAATCCTAATATTTATAATTTTTTGATCAAAATGAACGATTTCTAATGATACATCTTGAAGCATATTGGAGTAATTAAATCTTAAACTACTTCATCGTTGTATGCGTTTCCTTTCTAGCCAATATGCACTGTGTCTATAATATTTCGGCTAGCTGGCCGCTTTGGGCAAATTAACAAATTGCAATTAAAAATTTCCGTTTGCCATATTTTGGCAGCGGTCGACATGTGTGTTTTTGTTCACACAAAAAATAAAATCACCCGAATCCGCATTTCGATGCTGTATAATAATTGTGACAGAGATAAACGATGTACACGAATTGGTAGTGAAAAGCGAATTATGCGATTTCTGAATAATATTCCCGATGGATATCTGCAGATTGTGCATGCTTCTTTTGATGTTTTATCTCTAGAGGGAGTGACTCAGTGCTACTTTTCTTTTTGACATTTTCATATTTCTGAAGGAGACACAAAAGGCTTCACAAAAGTTACTCATACGGCATGCGGACCACACTAAAGCTTAATTTTCGTTTGCCCACCAGATGATTGCCTGCAATTAGAAATACTTTACGAGGTGCTTAAATTGTTCTAAAACATTTCACTGCTAGCCCCTTTAAAGCAACACACTTTTACGAGACGCCAACATGGCGTATGCGTAATAAATTGAACATGTTTTTAGCAGCAGAGGATAATCGCTCTCATATTGGTCATCTTTTACAAAGATTCCGAAAGTCTTTGAACATTTCTTATCATAAATAATTGAGACATACTTTTAAGGGTAGCCCAAAATCCATTTCTTGTGTAACCTTCTTGGGTGGAATTCCTTTGTTCCGTTTTTATTTTTGCTTACACATCAAATTGAATCTTCATTATCTGACGACAACGCTTGAGTGAACATCTTGAGTGGCACGCGGCGGAAAAAGTAAGTGCACCCAAGAAAAATCGCATAATGTGGAAATATTTCGATGAATTTTGTATACTTGAGATGTATTTAGCATGTGATTATAGCAATTGTCTCTGTATTATTTCAACATATCGAAATAATATTCAATTGTTTAGAACAGCATATCGCTGTTATTTTTCCCAGTGTTGGGGATGGAGCATCTAACGGCACTCACCATTCACATAGTCGCCCAGGACTAGAGAGCATTCCATGTCATTGCATTTGAAGTTGGCTCTCACCACATTGACGTTAACGGTACTGCTATCTCGTTTGAGCTCCAGCTCATCTCTCTCTCCCTTTTCCGCATCCTCCTTGGGCTCCAGCTCGACACCCTCTTCCTCTTCCACCTCTGCTGCTGTCCCTCTCTCGGCGCTCTTGCAGCGGTCATTGTTGTTGCTATCATCGCTGCAACTGCTGCAGCATCTCTCCGCACTCGCCCCGCTGCCGGCGCTCCCCCCGCTCCCCAGCGCCATCTCGCTCTGGTGCACGGGCAGAGGCTGCAGGAGAGCGAGGGGGCAGTGGCGTCTGCTCATCGAAGCCGAGCTCAAGGTTCTCAGCAGGCGGCTCAGAGAGGCGGACATTGCCTCCCTCTCTCGCTCCGCCATCTTGGCTGGATGCACTTAAACAAAAAATCGAATAGCGAAGAACACACTGCACTCAAGAACACAGATCAAAGCGCGCGCGTGCCTGTCCAGTTCAACTAACGGTTTATCTCGGAGTCGCTCTCCTCTTCTTCGCCCAGCCAAGCTCAGCTCAGCTGCTAGCGCAACTGCTGACTGAGCTGCAAACCCAACGCGGACGACAATGGTGGCCTCTGCCTCTGCCGACGTCGATGTCGCTGCCTATGGCGAAATTGCGAATCACAGTAAACCACGGCATTAAAATTGTTGCTGCCACGGCGTTGGCTTTGTGCAAGGCACCGACGAAAAACAACCATACAACAAAAACAAACTGAAGGCCCGCTCAAAAGGCCGAACCAGATATACCCTCGAACAAAGGCTCCTGCAGCGGCTACACGCATAAGGACGGCAGGAAAAACATATACAATAGTTTCGTAGCACATAATACACTAGATGACCAAGTTTCATATTAATTGATGGATGAATTGATTATATATCGTCTGCCAACATTAGTAAAAAAGTCTTAAAATTGCAAAACGGTTAAATCCTGTTTTAATAGTAATGGTACATGTAAAATGGGACTATATTTCATGTGGTGCACATGGCGTACGCGTAACTTCTGCTATCTTAATTACTATTGCCATCTTAAAGATGCCATGCGTTTCCATACTTCAGCCCAAAATGCAGGTGCTCTACTGTGAGAGTACTAAAAAAAAACATACAAAAAACAACAAAAAAGAGTTGTTCGTTGTTTTGTTGTAGGCCTACTACACGTGGCAATGCAGGCGGTGGGCGGGTCAGTGGGCGGCTGGGTGGGTGGGCGCATTATAACTTCCCTGCAGCCCTACCGCCCCCCATCGCCCCCATCCCCAACTGCCTTTTGAAACTCCGCTGTGATTAACATAAATTGCGCACGGCATGGGCTATAAACAGCGCAGCTAAATCCTAGCCCTCATCCCTGTATTGCCATACAGTGCCCCCCACAAGCCGGAGAATTTGTTTTGCGATTTTAAAATAAACATATAATAAAAATATGCTCACTAAATCCCATTTGAGTCGGGACAAATGCCTGTATGGGCCTATATGCTCCTTCCGTGCCACCCACACCACTGAAATGTAGCCCTTTCTGTTGCCTACTTTTTGGCGCGTGAGCGAATTCCATCAGTGATGATGAAATTCCAACAGAAGAAAAGCCGTTCCCATAATGGCATGATTTATAACCTGCGACTCTGCTGTAAAATATAGATATTTTAAGAATAAATGGCATAAGCTTTTAAGTTTTTTTATGGTATTCCATTGCACATTTGCACTATTTGCATATTGCAGCCATTCATCTAGACAAAGGCTTGACATTTATGGTTTATTTGAGTTGTGCCAAAATGTTGGCACATGTACTTAATTTTGCGATGACAGATTGCCGCATTTTCAAAATAAGTAATTTGCAAATGAAATAACCAACTCAAGCGCAGGTACCGAAATGAATATGAATTTTGTAGCGAAATTCAATCAATTGCAAGACAGTAGGCTTGTATAAATTCTCTTATCGCCGTTAGGGAAATCCATCTTAAAAAAGCCAAAAGGGCGATAAAAATAGCTGATTTGGCAATACCGATTCCCACTCATAGCCCCACTCTTGCTCCTCCGTTCTTTGTGTGTTTTGCAGGGCCCGCTTGGCACCAATTCATTTTTTTTAGCTTCAGCTTGGTTGTTTTTGGCGGAGATGGAGACGATGTCGGCTTATTGGCATTTGACAGCGCCCTGGCAGCGGCGGGACGTCCTTAGAGAAGAGCTCCTTACGGTCCTTAGGGCGGCTCCATCTCAATGACTTGGCGGTGGCGCCACGCAAGGGAAAACTGTGCCACAGCTGCCATTCGCTTGCTTAACCCACATGCCGCCCCATGGATGCTTTGAAGGCAAACCACTAAATTAACCCTATATAGCCTAATACTACCGAATGTCACGTGAATCGTAATACAATCGCGCCTCAGCCGTCACTAATCGTAAAAGATAATCTCTGATTGCCACGTATCGATTAATAATCAGCGCGGTAATCTGCGTAGTTCGTTTGCCACCACACTCAAGGATTCATTTCCGCCGGATATTGCCACGAGGCGTCATATCGTTTTTGTCTGCAATGCGTCATTAGGCCCACGGGGCAAGCTAAGGTAACCCAAACCCGACCCCCACACCAGCTGCAACGCCCGAGATCCCGAAAGCCTCAAGCCCCAGGACCCCCTCAAGTATACCCTATATAAGTAGACCCCCTAGATAGAGCCCCCATATTATAGCCTTGCGTCGCTTGCATGTCATTTTGCTTCACCAATTGGTTGCGTCTCCTTTGTTCCTTTTGATATACATTTTTTGTTGTGTTTGCTCAATGGTTTCGTGTAGTATTTTTTTCTCTTCGTTTTTCGTTTTTCTTTTTTGCTTATTGTTTTTTTGTTGTTTAGTTTCGTATTTTTGGCTGCGGCCGCCCGCAGCACAGTGAAGCCCATCCGTCCGTAATCCCCTCGGTATTTTCCCACTTCCGGTGGAGCGGGAAATGGGGGCCTTTTGGGGGATAACCAAAGTAAAAGACAGTGACAGGAGCCGAAACAGAGCGGCAAGTGCTCCGTTTCTCCATTTCTCCATTTCTCCTATTCTCCAGTTCCCCATTTCTCCTATTCTCCGTTATTGATATGCATTTGGAGCCAAGACGAAAATAGACGCCGGCACCAAAAAAAGAAACATATTGCAACTATTTACGGTGGACGTCAGGCGTCAGGTACGTCAAACGCCAGGTAAAAACCAAAACTACAGCGGCAAAGTGGAAGTTTTTCCTATTTTTTCTTTTTTTTGGCAGCCGACCGGAAAATGTATGGCGGTCTGTGATTTATCAAGCGATTTTCCAAGCTTAATTGATTACTGCAGGGTCTTACTAACAACAGAACTAGTTGAATAATTATATTAATTCCTTTGCTGCCAATCAAATAATCTTACTGTTCACGCAGATAGTTAAACCTTGTTCGTTCGGATTTGATTAGGAAAGATATCATATTTGTAATACCCATCCAAATTAAACACTGATTGATAAGCATTTAAACAAAATCAGTTAGTTGAAATTGTGAATATTTGATCGTATAATATAGACTTCATTTGAAAACTGCATTTGCAATGGCTTGGAAGCAGAGTATTCAAAAGAAATGTAATAAAAACGACTAAAATGTTTCCCCAATGAGATAACTCAGCTATTTATACCCGTTACTCGTAGAGTAAAAGGGTATACTGATTCGTTGAAAAGTTTTTAACAGGCAGAAGGAAACGTTTCCGACCATATAAAGTATATACATATATCCCTGCTCACAAACAATAGCCGCAATTCTCTAAATATCTGCATTTAAATTAAGAAATTAATTTTTTTTTAAATTTGTTGTAATTTTTTTGTATTTTTTTTGATGCTATGATGTTGTAGAAATTTCAAAAAATGAAGAAGTGTCCCAATGCTGAAGTTCTAAACTCCATAACTCAACTTATCTTAATCGGATTTTGAAGTGGCATACCTCTAAATGTTTCTGGCGTAATTCTCTAAAAATCTGCATTTAAATTTAGAAATTCATATTTTTTTTTAATATTTTTCAAATTTTTTTGTATGAGTAACGGGTATAGTCATTCTATCTTGTTTTAATATCAACAAGTAATTGTAATTCTAAAGTTTTTTTCTTGTGGTGTATGTAAATACAGTCTTATGATATGCTAAGGCTCTCCTATATACGATATGCTAATGCTCTACTGTATACGAAATAAGACAAATGGATTATATCCGTACCCGGACCTTGACTCACCATCGTTTTGCTTGGACGGCTGCTGATGGAACTCACAGATCTCCGGACCCAACATCGAATTCCGGTTCTCCTTGTCCTTGACGCCCTTCTGCATTTCCTGCTCCTTTTCCGGCTGGCCTTTCACTCAACGACCTCGGGATCTTCTTGAGATAAGGTGACCTTACTTGGTGCGCGGATATTGGGTGCGATTCGAGGACCAATTCGTAGATGCGATTGATGGACGAGCTTTGTGCTGAATTTGTCTCCGATTAGGAATGGGATTTTCCCTTTCGTGTGTTCATGTGTGTTAAATGAGTGACTAAAGGGGTGAATGTGAGTAAAAGAAAAGGGTACGAATGGGGTTTTTTGGGAATGTGTGTCTAGTGTGTATGTTGTGGGCCGAATTAAACTCTAGTATCAGGGCCTACTTCGTTACATTACATCTACTTCCGGGCCTCGAATTCAATCGGCACACTGCGACTCGTTTGCTCGTTTTCACACCTCGAGTTACGCGTACACTGGGAGAAAATCGTCTGGTCACAGTGTACGTTCCCACCGATGCGGTATTTTCACCTTGAAGCGAGCGGTAAATGTTAACGGTGAACGGATACGTTCAACGCCGGATACCGGGTAACTGGCTACTGGCCACCGGACGGGCTCCGATGCCGCCGGAAAAGTCGGAAAGTCGAATGGGTCGGAAAAATCGGAAAGGAAACGGGAAACACTTCGTGACAATGCGACGCGGGCTGGCAAACAAATCAAAGCGAATTAGTTGCATTAGTGGCAGCTATCAGCGGCACAGGCAGCAACACGGCTCCAGGATGCGGCGCCGCTGCCAATGACTCTCCCGCCACTCGCCCCGTCTCTGTCCCTGTTCCTGTTCCTGTCCCACTTCCGTCTCCATATATCCGTTTCCGTTTCCAGCTTTCTGCCAAGGCGAAAGAGCTGGTCGCCTGGCGTGCCAGCACCTGGGCCATAATGCACATGCGAGTCCATCGGGAAACAGGGTGTCCTCCGTTCATATGCAGGATATTCCGAACTTAAGGAAGTTTAATCATGTGCATTGGGAATCCTAATTACACAGTAACTATTTTCGCATATGTACAAGAGTTCAAATAAGCAGTTACGAATTTATTTGGAGTTATTTCAGTAATGTGAAAGTTTTGGAATAATCGATATTTTCAAAGTGCAACCAACTCTAGTATAATTAAACAAGTTAGGCAATTTTACAATTAGTTTATTGGGTAATGAGTATGTTCAATGCAATTATGTGGAATACATGTCAGTTTTAAATGGTAAAAATATATTACTTCAAGTACATACATATTTGAAAGTAACAATTAATCCGCACTGACACCCCTTATTGCAGATAATCGTATGCACTGGCATATTTATCGGATTCCCCCACATACAAACCATCCGTTTGGCTGCCACTGCTGATTATGTGCCATTAAAATTGGCTGCCAATTGGCAAAAGTTTTCTTTTTTTCGCTCCGCATTCTGCATTGCCGCTTTCTCCATTATTTTTCATTCACTCCACATCCATGGCGGCCTTTTGTTCTTAGTCCTGAGGCTTTGCCCTTTGCCTGCGGTTCAAAGTTCAATGCATTTCGCTTGCGACACGCACACTCGCACACAAACACACTCGCACGTCAACGTGCCACGCCCCCACAGCGCCCACTTTACCAGTGCACCTGACCAGTGTTGTTGTGGTGGCCATTTTCGAGCTGAACCCCGAGTTTTTAACTAGTTTTCAATTCAATTTTTCAATTTCTTTTTAATTCTAAATCTTGGAATACATGGAATCGTATTTCTTTCCAAAATGAACAAATGAACAACTGCCACGATAAGTTTTCAACTTTTGCAGCATACTTTTCGACACCCTCTGCAAAGATTTCATTAGCATTCCATCAACTAAATCAATATATTGTTTCCTTATTTAACTTTCTATAAACCTAAATATTATGGTTCTAGTATCCCATTGAATAGCAATTCTCCAAGCTTTGCTCTCTCTGCATTTCCTTTATATTCCACCTAAATTGACAGCTCTGCACCTGACAGTCCATCTTTACACATTTCCACAAAACGCCGAGGCGTCGAAAAATCCTAAACGCAACTTTGTCAGACTTTTATGGGGGGGCTTGGGGAATTTGGGGAACTTGGGGAACTTGGGGGTGCTGGGGTTGGGGCATTGGACTCTTCTGGTTCTCCAGTTTGCATTTGAATTTGAGTTTTAGCTCGACTTTGGGTTTCGGTTGTGGAGAAGGTTCCTGTCAGCCATCAAGCGGGAGAAATGAAATATGCGCGACTTCTACGGGCAAAACTAAATGAACTCTGAACTTTATGCGAAATTTCACCTCATGCATGCATGCATGTGTGTGAGTGCAGGTGTGTGTGTGTGTGTGTGTGCGCGCTGCGTGCTTTAAACTTTTGTTGCCTGGCAAAGTAAATTTGGATAAGGTTTTTTGGTTAAGTGAGGCACAAGGATGGTGCTGCGGAAAACACTGCGCAAAAATATGCGTGAAGAACACAATAGCCTAATGTAAACAATGTAGGTTTGGTTTATGTATAAAAAATATCAACACACCGCAGAAAACATGGAAATCCAAAGGTATATTAGTTTATTTTATTTATATTTAAAACTACATTTTCTCTATAGTTTTACTGTGCATACATTATTCGTCGAGCTTTCAATTTTTCAGCTCGAAATGCCAAAAGTGCGTCATGAATGATGATATATGGAGTGCTGTGGTAACTGGCGGGAAATGTGAGGTAATGGTGGATGTTTTAGGGAGGTTTTGGGACTAAAAGTGGGCCATGGGTGTGAAAAGAAGTGGCCAAAGCACCGGAAATTCCTTAGCTTGATGCGGAATTTCCTATGTGCAACACACTAGCAAGGGAATTAACCCGGAAACCCCTCATAAATTCTAGAATTAAATATTACACAAAAATGATGCAAACTAATTTCCGTAGTCAGTGTCTACACTATTTACATTCAAGCTTTCTTAACTTAAACGGGTTTAAATATGCAAATATGAGAAAATTCATTTGTTTCCTATCTGTTAGAACTCTTAAACGGCATCCAACATAGGCACTCCATTGCAGTTTTGCTGCTACCAAATCTCTTTGGTTTATAGCCACTTTTGGGGCAATTCGAAAAGTTCGAGGGTTAATTGAGCGATTCGCGATGGGCTCTGTGTCGCATTATCCTCCGGCTTGCAGCGCTGTCCCGCTGCCATTGACTTGGTCCTTAGCTCTAATTTTAGATGCCGGCTACGTCAGCGGGCCAATTTGCGAGTGCCGCTGCCACCGGCGACTCTGCGGCTGTTTGATCAATAACCCAGATATATGGCCATAACAACAAACAACAACAGCGCCAGCCACACAATGCCACACAGACCCAAAAGCCCCAAGAGTCGACCAAGTCCATCGAATTGAATCGCTGCCATCAAATTAATTGCAGCTGCATTGTGCATCACGCCTTAATAAGATACCTGCATTCGGCTCTGATTCTCCATTTTCAGTTGATAACTGCCGATTTTTGAACTGACAATAAAACTAAGCGTAACTGCAACAACAAGGAACCAAAACAGCATACCAAAACCCAACTAAACACGAAATTTGAACGGAGTAAAGGATACGTTAACAAATCAACACTGCAAAATGGGACGCAAGGTGACCGTGGCGGTGTCCACATTGAATCAATGGGCATTGGACTTTGAGGGAAATACGGTGAGGATACTGCAGTCCATCCTGGAGGCCAAGGACATGGGCGCCAGCTATCGCACGGGCCCCGAGCTGGAGGTTTGGTAAGTCCCAAGATCTCTAATCCTGTAGAAAGCAAATCATCCAACCTTTTTCGAATTAAATTTTACAATATACTCTGTGCATCAAAATATCTTAAAAAAATCCTAGTCTTTTTTAATTTAATTATTTTAATATAATAATAATAATAATATTTATAATTATTATTTATTTTTATTTATTCAAGGAGTCTAATAATGTAGATCAAGAAAGGATATTCTACATTTATAAGTTCCGCCCAAAATGAAGAACCTGAACGATATTAACCATTTATCCATTTTTCCCCCAGTGGCTACAGCTGCGAGGACCACTTTCGTGAGCCGGACACATTCCTGCACTCGTGGGAGGTGCTGCTGGAGGTGATGATGTCGCCCGTGTGGTAAGACCATTCAAGTGTCAGTATTCTGTCGCACGGACTAACCCATTTGTTGCATCCTAGTGAAAATATGCTGGTGGACGTGGGCATGCCGGTGATGCACCGCAATGTGGCCTACAACTGCCGGGTGGCGTTCTTCAACCGCCAGATCCTGCTCATCCGGCCCAAGATGGCCATGTGCGACGATGGCAACTATAGGGAGTCGCGATGGTTCACCGCCTGGACGAAGGCCCTGCAAACGGAGGAGCACGTGCTGCCGCGAATGATGGCCCAGCATACGGACCAGCAGACGGTTCCCTTCGGGGATGCGGTGATAGCCACCAGGGACACCTGTTTGGGCTACGAGATCTGCGAGGAGCTGTGGAATGTGCGCAGCAAGCACATCGAGATGTCGCTGGCCGGCGTGGAGCTGATAGTGAACAGCTCCGGCAGCTACATGGAGCTGCGAAAGGCGCACATCACCAGCGACCTCATCCGGAATGCCAGCTTCAAGGCCGGCGGCGCCTATCTCTTTAGCAATCTGCGAGGTTGCGATGGCCAGCGGGTGTACTTCAATGGTTGTTCGGCCATAGCCTTGAATGGCGAGATCCTGGCGCGCAGCCAGCAATTCGCACTGCAGGATGTGGAGGTCACGCTGGCCACCATCGATCTGGAGGAGATCCGTGCCTACCGAGTGAGCCTGAGATCACGCTGCATGGCGGCTGCATCGGCAGCTGAATACCCAAGGATCTACTGTGACTTCGAGATGTCCACGCACAGTGACATCTTCAAGACGTCGACGCCTCCTCTGAAACTGCCAGTTCACACGCCGGAGGAGGAGATTGCCCTCGGACCTGCCTGTTGGCTGTGGGACTATCTGAGGAGGTCCGGTCAGGGTGGATTTTTCCTGCCCCTGAGCGGTGGTGTCGATTCCAGTAGCTCGGCAACAATAGTGCACTCCATGTGCCGGCAGATCGTGCAGGCTGTCCAGCTTGGCGACGCCCAGGTGCTCCACGATATTCGACAGATTCTCGCCGACTCGGACTATACGCCGGATAATGCCGCCGGATTGTGCAACCGATTGCTGGTCACCTGCTACATGGGCAGCGTTAACAGCAGCAAGGAAACCCGTAGACGGGCCGCCCAACTGGCCAACCAACTGGGCAGTTACCACATCGAGATCAGCATTGACTCGGCGGTGAATGCCTTATTGAGTATATTCAACACCGTCACCGGCTTGACGCCTCGATTCTGGACGCAGGGTGGCTGTGCCCGTCAGAATCTGGCATTGCAGAATATGCAATCGAGGATACGCATGGTCCTGGCCTACATCTTTGCCCAGTTGATGTTGTGGGTAAGGAACAGGCCTGGTGGCTTGCTCGTCCTGGGCTCGGCCAACGTGGATGAATCCTTGCGCGGTTACCTCACCAAGTATGACTGCTCCTCGGCGGACATCAATCCTATTGGTGGGATCTCCAAAATGGATCTACGCCGGTTTCTGACCTATGCCAAGGATAAGTAAGCAAATATTACGTTACAAGACGTGGCATATAGATATCCTTTACTGACCTCGATTTCCCCATTCGGCAGATTCAACCTGCCCGTGTTGGAGTCCATCATCGATGCCCCGCCCACCGCCGAACTGGAACCGCTGCAGGAGAACGGGGAGCTGCAGCAGACGGACGAGCAGGACATGGGAATGACCTACGCGGAGCTCTCACAGTACGGGCGCCTGCGCAAACAGTCCTTCTGCGGACCGTACAGCATGTTCTGCCACCTGGTGGCCACGTGGAAGGGCGACCTCAGTCCCAAGGAGGTGGCCGAGAAGGTGAAGCACTTCTTCCGCTGCTACGCCATCAATCGGCACAAGATGACCGTGCTGACGCCGTCGGTCCACGCAGAGAGCTACAGTCCCGATGATAATCGGTTCGACCATCGCCCCTTCTTGTATCGACCCAACTGGAGCTGGCAGTTCAAGGCGATTGACGACGAGGTGGAGAAGCTGCAGCCGATCTACACCCCCTCGTCGCCTCAGTTGCGCCCTAGCAGCGAGGACTTGCTGCTTTCCACCCAAAGATCCTCCCACCTGGACGACTCCAAGCACTCGTCTCCATTGTCCTCGGCCTCGGCGTCGGCATCGATTGACGTGGGCATTTCCACGGCAGCGGTGCCACTACCAGGTGCAGCTGCCCCAGGCGGACTCTCCAAGAAGCCCAGCGGCTATTCCAAGGTGCACGTCAATGTGCTGGGCAAGATCAAGGACCGTACCGGCATTCCCGTCTAGGAACGGCATACTCGCAACGCACTGGAATTATATTATACACAGTTTTTTTTTTTTTGTTACCACAGCTTAATGTCTTTTGCTGCCTCGCTAAGAAATGTACTTCACATTTGTTATAGTTAGGCATCGGCTATCTTTTGCAACTATGTGCCTTCTACAGCTCGCAAAAAGTTTCCTTAAATGTTTTCCTAAAATATCAATTCTGATCTAGTTATATGGCCATTAAATAAACTTAATTCCAAAGAAAAACCTATCCGTAATTAGCATGTGCTTATAGTTTTATACTAGCCTTTTGTAATTTACAAGATTCTTTAGTACGGTACAACTATCTGTTTCGAACTGTTTTTAGTAATCTAAAACTGATACTAGCATACTGTTTTATCTGAGTCATATCTAGCACTTGACAAACATTACTCAGTAAATCACTAACAATGTAGCTTTACTATTCGGCAGCAAAGGGCATTATGCTGTACATATACAGCATTGGAATCCATATGTGTAGGAATAGGCCTAGAGATCCATATTTTCTTCAGATCCTTTTCTAGGTAGTCAGCCTTCGTAGAGTCCTTTGCAGTTTGCCTTATCTAAAAGTGTTTAATCTTGTCTAACGCTCAAGCTATAAACTGGACAAACAGCTCGTCCGCCTGTCCAAAGAATTTGTACAACAATCTTGTTAAAGAAACATGTATTCGGATAAATCATGCTATCATCTGACTTTACGTAATAAAGATATTACTTGTTGTGTTATTGGTTGTGTACAGTGCGGCTTAAACTGGCATAAAACTGATTGTTTACCTGATTTTTTAAGACATCAACTTATTTATAATGATGTGTGTATCTGTAATCAAATATTTTAACTGGCATAAGATTGCTTCACTACACGCCGCATTTAAAAATTATGACTTATATGTAACCCAATTTGGAGAAATTAGTTTAATGTTCCGAAAGTTGCACTTTTAAAAACGCACTGTATGTTTATTAGTTAAGATGAATTTGTTGATTATAAGACAATTTGTCAACCTTAAAGCGAACCACATTACACAAAATCAATTAGGATCGTCAATTATATATGTTGTGGGCATGTGAAGTCCAAAAAAACATCAAATACAAGATATCACAACTATTTGCTTAAAATGTACCATTAGCGTCTAAACCATTTGAAAAACAATTCTAGCAAAACCCCACTATAGCTGAACTTTTGTTGATTAACATATTGCACATACAAAAGCAATTCAAATTGTATTTCCCTTCTGAATTGCAATATGGGTTTTAAGTTTAAACTAAGACCAATGCAGCTTATGCTAATTCCCCAACCTTTAAAGACACTTCCTTGGGAGATGGGCATAATTTTTTTGTAGTCAAGTATGTAGACTTATAGCACATTGTGAATTTGAACACTCGCATCAGATCGATTTAATGGAACACTGATTATACACTTCTGTAGAAGGAAATATATACAGCAGACATTTTTGTAGTTTCAAATGGACTGGGCACTTGATGGTTTCTTCTAGAAAATATAGCGAGATGAAATATCATTTGGCAATCACTTATATGGCAGGTAAGCTGTTGGCTTAAGTCTCAAAAATTGGGTTATCATTATTCTTGACTCTTTGCCATCCACCCATGTTCTTCCCCCAGCACTTCACTATAATCTGTGGCCAAGTCATAGCACCCAGTTGCCTTATCGGGCCATAAACAGTATGAAAGGGTTTGGAAGTTGTGGTAAACTTGAAATGTATTTAAGACGCTAAGCGCATAGTTGTGCGATATCGGTGTTGGGCAGGAATCCCGTCCAGGCGATGATAGTGCGGAAGGTAGCTCCACTGCTCAGGCGCCTAATGACGTGCACATTGATCTTCTTCCCATGGATGTCGTCCACCTTTCGGCCGCGCAGGTGATCCAGCACCATCTGGCCACGGGTGTGGTGGCCACTCAGCTCCACGGTGGCATAGTAATCCCGCTGATCGGCGATCATCGCATCTGGGAAGAGATAGGCGGCGGTGAGCAGGGAATCACAGCTGATCCACTTCACGAATCCCCGCGGCTCCAGCATGGAGCGTTCCACGCGCGTCATCAGCTCTATGAAGGGATGATCGACAGCGCCGAGAACATTCAGTCGCCAGTCGAGGGTGGTGTCGAACTCGCCATCGATGCAGGGCTCCCAGGGCAGGATGAGCGCCGGCTCCGGCAATCGCTCCAGGGTAATGTGCGCCGCCTCGGGATCCATCATGAAGTTGAACTCGGCACTTTTCGTGACATTGCCCTTGCCGAAAATGTTGCCGCCCATTATGTAGACGCGCCCAATCTTCGCCAGAAAAGCGCTGCCATACAGATTGATGCAGTTGGCAAAGTTGGTGAGCGGACCGCACAGCAGGAAGTCCACTTGGCCGGGATTCTGGCTGGCCAGACGGTACATGGCATTCACAGCGTGCTCCGGCTGCAGTTCCTGCTCCACATCGACCACGGGATAGTTGCCCACATCGTTCAAGCCATCCTGGCCATGGAAACGGGTGGTGTACTGCCAGGTGCGGGGCACAATGGAATCGGCACAGCCCTTAAATACGGCCACCTGTGTAGATTAGATGGTTAGCACGAGTTGGAAACCCGGTTGTTTAATGCATTTCACATCGCGCCTGTTCAACGTGTGCAGAACCCGCAGGGCATTCAGTGTTCCATTGTCCACGTCCGTGTTGCCCTGCACCGTTGTTATGGCCACCACTTTGCAGCTCCTTCCTCCGGGCAGAGTCAGCTCCTCCGCCCGCAGCATCATGGCCAGTCCCCAGGCATCATCGCTCCCAATATCACAGTCGTAGACCACGAGGCGGTGCTTCTTGTCCATGCCGAGCCAAATATATTCCAAACTGGTTGCTGTAGCTTCTATCGATTGCGAAACTATCGCTGCGTTATTCGCTCATGGTGGCCACCACATTTAAAATACTATATTTAACTAAATTCGGAAGGTTGGTGTCGGCTGCCACAGCAGGGTGGATAATGATGAATCCCGGCCTGGAGGTGATTTGCCCACTCCCATGAATATTGTTCTACTGCTGAAATGTATTTCACAGCTTTGTAACTAGCTAACATTTTAATTTCAACTAAAGAAACGGAGTTTAGCAATTACTTGCCAAAATTTCTGAAAGAATAATCTTCTTGTTACTAAAATAAACAGCTGTAAGCGGCAGTTTTACAACGTGTAACATATGATATGATATATGTATAGGGTATTCCAGCTGTAAATCGAACTAAATATTTAATGAATAACAAAGAAATAAATATATAAATAAATGATATATTTTGATACATTTTTGAGTGTCTAACCAGGCATTATCCAGAATGTGATTTAAGCCAGAATTTGTACTTAGAGTTAGAGTTACAGTTTATATTTAGAGTGTGTATTTCTGTGTGGTCTTGCTAAATTATAAAACAATTAAACTAAAGAACAGGCATTGAAACCCAAATTTAATAGCAAATATTTTAGGCTTAAACAAAGGTCTCCCACATGCTTATGATTGCAACACCCGTGAATAAAATAAATAGAATATCCAAATAGAGCATAGTCGTTTAATGACTTAAGTGGGTGGTGTTCCACGCTCATTTTCATCTACTTATATGGGATGTACTCTCGTCTGGCATTCTAGATTCTATAATCTAGATTACCTCAAGTGTCGCAAGTGGGCGACTCTCACCATGGATCGCTATTATAGCGGCGACCTGCCGCAACTTGATTACCATTGTTGCAACCATAGTGGTTCCAGTTGCCCTTCGGATCCCATCACTGTTATTCATTGAATTAAATTGTGAATTTAATTCTTCCCTTATTCAGCAGATTTCTATAGAAATGTCTCCATGGGGAAAGTATTGTTGATGGGGAAAGGAATTCAGACTAAACGAGCTTATCTTGTATGTAGGTACATACAAACAGTTGTAGTTTTTATTGGGATTGTTATGTTATTATTTATTATAGGTATCGTTGACATTGTTAAGCAGCTGTACCAAGCAGTAATTCCTTTAGTTCTCTGATAATATTGGGCGAAAATATGGTAAAAGAACCACCTAAAAATGTTTTTTTTTTTTTTTTTGATAAAAGTTATTTTTTCGTATTTTTGCCAATAATTAGGAGTTCTGTTCCGAATAGGGAGCGGCATACCTCCATTCCCAATCGATTTGCATTCAACTTTTTTGCAAATTTTTTGCAAATTTTGATGCGAAATTTACCAAAAAAAATGTTTTTCCCTTAATCCGTCAGAAAGTGATAGGAATAGGTTCCATGTGTAATTAGCTGCTCAAAACTGTTGTTCTTTTATCTATAGTAGCATTTTTTGCTAAGTTATGATACAAATTCTCATCGGAAATTTTCAAATTTTTGGCAAAAGCCGTTTTTACGAATTTCCGTCATAAAAATAAATAATTTTTTGCTAAAACTTTCAAAATAATTGTCTGAATATTAAATGCCGAATCTCGATCAGTTTGTATTTGCATTCCCAATCGAACGAACTGTATTCAAAATGGGGATACTTAGATTTTTGCCATTTTTTAACAAACAAAAAAAATGTACAAATTTACCGAACATTTGTTTTTGGCTTATTCCTTCAAAAAGTGATTGGCATTCGTTAAAAGTTTTATAAATCTGTCATTTTGTTTGGTGTATGATCATTTTAGGCCAAGGTATGGCGAATCAATCCGCCTTTGTAAAAACCTCTTTTATTGGCTACTATAGCTGAGTTTTTCTGATATGACGGACAACAAATTAATTTGCTAATTATAATAATGCCATTATAAGTAATGTTCATGTGACATTGAAGTTGCCTGCGTGCTTGATTGTACTTACATTTCCCATTAACACTAATCAAGCAAACTGCGACCACCCAACGGATGACATATGCTGAAAGAAAGGGCATTCGGTGGCCGACCAGATGGGTGGCAGTATTCCCACACATCTTATCCGTTTGTCCCGTTCTCGCCGGGCGATATGAATTGAATTGCACACATGGTGACATTCGCTATCGCCCACCGCACATGTGAGCTGCTCATTTCATTCCATTTCAGCTCAGTTCTGTTCAGTTCAGTTCAGCCGAGTTGAGTTGGGTTGCGTTGTGTTGAGTCGGGGAACGGCGAGAGCGTTATGAAATTTCGTGATATGGTGCCCAAGAACCAGAGCCACAAAAAGAGGCACACACAGAAGCCCGAGGCGGCGACCAGATGATTGCCGTATGTGCCTAGTATATGGGTAGTCCGTAGTTCGCAGTTCGGGCACATTCACCAATTGCCGGCGATGGCGGACGCACGCACAGTGGAAAACGGCGGCGGCGGCGGCGGCGGCGGCGGCGGAGGAGGAGGAGGAGCACCAGCACCTGCACCAGCGACCAGATACGCGATCCTCGACTGCGATGGGGGGAGCGACGATGCCTGGGCCCTGCTCCTGCTCCTGCACGCGGCTGAGAGCCATGGGATCCATCTGCTGGCCATCACCACAATGGGATGCGGCAACACCAGCAGGGAGAACGCAGCGCGCAATATGCGACGGATTCTGGATGCCTGCAAGCGCACAGACGTAAATATAAATAAACTCAGAGTGCACAGAGAGAAAAGTTCTATTTGATTCCAATCATTTTGCAAGTCATTTGTGAAGTCATTTGCTGAAACTAGAGTTGTGAATTTTATTTTGAAATAACGAAGTAACATGTAATAGGTAAATGTTGTTCCAAAAATATCCATATCAGTTGTGGGAATCGAACTCGGACTGTTGTTTTCATTGATAATTCTTTGCGATAAGTCACGCCACATTTTGGTTCTTGTTTATTTAATATATTTAAACATTTTGCAATAAAAAATGCGAGCAACTTCAGTTTACAAATATTTTTTTGCGAGTGTCATGTGCTGAAATAATTAAACAGATCGTTTTATACATTGATTCATGCAATCGATTATTTACTTATGAATATGTACAAATTAGGAAAGGAATATAGTATGTGAAGATTTAATAACAACGACACATTGCTTATATATGTCTAACATAATTAGCATTGCTTGGCGTTTAATATTACGTGACATTTTAATTGTTTTTCGTCTTGCGATTGCTTTTCAGAATTTTTCTTTCTGAAAGTTGTTCTCTATATGCATCTGACCATTGTTAAACGAATTTCAGATTCCCATATACATGGGTGCCGTAGATGCACTCATTCCCTCCCTGGAGGACGACAAAAAGTATTTCCATGGCCGCGACGGATTCGGTGACTGTCTCACCGACAGCGACAGCGTTAAGTTGGAGGACATCGTGCAGCCGGAGCACGCGGTGACCGCCATCCATGATCTCTGCCGTTCCAAGCCCAAACAGATCACAGTATTTGCGGTTGGCCCGCTGACGAACCTGGCCCTGGGCTATACGATGTACGGCACGGAGTTCGGGGCGAACTTTCGCGATCTGTTCATCATGGGCGGCAACTACCAGGGCGTGGGCAACTCCTCGCGGTCAGCGGAGTTCAACTTTCACTCGGATCCGGAGGCGGCGCACACGGTGCTGCTGCGGACCCGCTGCCCCATCACCATCCTGCCGTGGGAGGCCTGCCTCCCGGAGAGATTCAATATACACATTGTGAGTTAAACATATCCTTGATTGGGATTCTGGTTATGGTAACTTTGCAATCATCTATCCTGCAGAACTGGCGCCTCAAGGACTTCGCTGCGAGGGCCAAGGACGCCGCACATCCGGCAATCACCATGCTCAACCAGGTGGAGGCCGCCCAGTGGCTGCCGATGATCGAGCAGTACGGGATTGATACGTGGAACCCCTGCGACGCCATCGCCGTGGCCGTCTGGCTGTTCGAGGATCACTTGATACGGAGGCACAGCACCTGGCACGCCACCGTGGATCTGCGGGGCACCCACACCCGCGGCCAGATGGTCCTCGACCATCTGCGGGAGCGGGAGAAGTATCCGGAGAACGTGCGCATCATCGAGCTGGTGGACGCCGAGTTCTTCAAACGCATCTGCGAATGGATTGCCGGCTTGGATGACGGCTCTCTACTCCGCGACACTCAATAAACCAATGTCTGCGTCTGCAGTAATTCGCTATCAAATTATTTCACTGCTGATAGGGGCAAAATGGTGGGGGTCTTGCGATAAGAGTGATTTTGGAACAGGTGCACACCACTATTAATAACCCGGTTGCGAATGGCAATTTAAGCTTTAAATACTTAATCGCGGATTAAGCAAAGGGTTGCAAAATTCGCTAGCTACCTCAACGAATGTCGAAGAGCTTTTGTTGTTAATAATCCAAACAAAAATTTTGGAATGGTACGGTTCAGATATTTCTTTTAATAGAGAGTATCCAATAGAGAGTATCAAAATGTAACAACATATATGGCATATCTAGTATGATATAGTTCAAATATATGGAATATGCTGAGTAGGCGATCCACGCAATCCACATTGAATATAAACAACCGCATTCGTTACTGTATACAATACAAATACCCCAAGTGGGATGCTCGGTTCCAAATTAAAGTACGCGAAAGAAATGCTGAATGCAGCAGAAATATTTTTGTTAGTTAGTTAGGATTGTCTGTTAGTCTTAGGATTGTCTGAGATTTAATCTATAAAGACGTGAACCTATTTCACTGATCTTTTTATTATTTTATTTCTTAGCGTTGTTCTTAGCTCGACTCGGTTTAACTTTAAACATTTCACTATATATATTATATGCAAGTCGAATCAAAAGAAGTGCTCAATCTCAATTGCTTAGGAAGATACTATTAAATTATAGAACGATTAGAGCAAATATAATTGCTATGTAAGCACTTACACAACGAAATCTCGTATATTTTTTCAGTTTCTCCAAAAATATAATCATTTTCAATGACCTTGGTATATTTAAGCCATAAAAAACTAGCATAGGAAAAAAAAGGAGGTTATAAAATAGATTGAATTACTTAGAGTTCTTCTTGGCCTTCTTAATCCTTTGCGAAGGACCCTTTTGCTCCGCGGGAGCGCGATATGTGCCATGCAGCTTGTCCAGCAGACCGAGCACTCCGTAATTGTAGTTGAACCTGGAAGGAGGAAGAGAGCCCCAATGAAGATGCGATGGATGGCAAGGATGACCAGGATACCCACTTGGCATGGTGATAATCGTGGAACCGCACTGATCCCGCCGACCACGGGAAACTGTAGCCCGTGTGATCGCTCATCGAGTTGATAATGGCCAGGGCGAAGATCACATAGGCCAGTGCCACATGGGTGCCCAGGATGGCAATGGACGTGGCCACCGGCAGCAGATTGGCCAACACATGCTCCACCGGATGGGCATACAGCGTGATGGCGGCAATGGGAGCCGTCCACTCGTGATGCTTCTTGTGGACATACTTGTACACCGATCTGTGGTGCAGCAGGCGGTGCGCATAGTAGAACATGATCTCCTCCAGCACCACAAACACGGCCAAATCGCGCAGGGATCGCTTGAACGTGGGCAGCACCCGGATGTCCTGGCTGTTCACCGACTTGTAAACGAACTCGTACACCACCCAGCTAACCAGAAAGTTGACCACCGTCAGATTGAAGAGCACCACCTTGACGGCACTCCACAACTTGGCCAGATCCACTGGCTCGTTTTGGCCCGGCTGGATCTTGTATTTGCGCAGGAAAAGTGGTCGATTCGTAATGTCCATCAGCGTGAACACGCCCGCATACAGCCAGTATATGACGAAGATGACCACGGTGCTGCCCACCACCCAGAGGCGAAACGGATCCGCACCCACGGTGTCCAGCAGCGCGTTCCACTTATCCTGCAGAGAATCCCCGCACTGCGTCCAGCCAGCCAGCAAGGTGTCCATTGTGGTCGAAGTCTGGGCAAAAACTACTCGCGGACCACCAGTCGCTCTTTAAAGTTGGCTACTCAATGGTGCTACTGGTGCCCTACACCCAGTGGGTTCCATTGGCGGCCTGATGGAGCCAACCTATATTCATTTACGGAAGATCTTCATATTTTAAATTCAGTTTGATCATGGGTATTCGTAGTCAACATATAATAAGCCAAGAAAATTCTAAGGCATGCTTAAAAGTGGATAAATGCTCGTCCATCTGTCCATAACCACAAGGTAGCTCATTTCTAGGATCAGTTAGCTCGAACTATCATTTTCGGATTTGCTCCTAAGTACTCTTTACGATTTTATATATGACTAAGCTGATTAATATTGCGTACGAATTTAGAAATCTAGCTAGCTTATCATTTCTTTCGCAGTCGATGGCAGATTATGGTCAAGCATTACTATTGTATTTAGATTAGGACTCCATCAATACTCGTATATAGTACCTACACCGTTTGTTGCTCGGAGCTTTGGCAAATCCCACCGGTTCAAAGTTCAAGCCCTGGGGGAGATATACTAGAATTTTATGATTATAATAATATATTAGTTCTTGAACTTGGTGTGATAGGGAAAGTGTAACTACAATCAAAGGTAAACACGCAGGATTAGTCGAATTTTTTCATTTATTGTTTGTATTTCTCATCTTTGTATATTTGACTTAAATTGGTTTCTTAGTTCTCTTCTGGTTTTCGTTTCATTTGTTTGGTTTTCGTTATCCGACTTTAAAACAATTCACTTGCTTTTGGAGATTTATGCCTTGAACGCCATCAGTTTTGCTATGCTAGTTTATTAATAATTGTTTAATTATATAGTTATATGTAATGAAGCACAGATATTCGAACTGGATCGTGTTGAAATAAGCCAGAATAACCGATCGATAAGGGATCCAACGAAACCATCTGGGAAAAATCTCAATGCATTGTAAAATTCACATAAAGTAATTGTCACATACACATTTATGCATACTCGTATATATCATACATACTTGTATATCTAACGCTTAAGCAGATTTATAAATATTGCCGTGTTCATTGGATTGTTTTGAATTCATGTCTGTTTCTGTTCTGCCTGGGGTTGCATTAGCTTTTTAACTTCTGGTTCCATTATTCAGTGATTGAAATTTGCGTATCTCTGCGCTTATTTTGGTTGTGGTTTAATTAGTTGAAAAGGCACTGCTGCATTCAAACTATTCCTTTTTGTAAGCCCCCGGATCTTGACCCCTTAGTCTCATTTGGTAATTTTATGTTAAGAATACACAATTAATTTTAGATATCATTCTAGTGCACTTGACCTCCAAATTTCCAAACCGAATGCCCGCGCATTTTGCATATTTCGTTTTACATATCTGTAAGCTTTTTTACTTTTGGTACCTCCTCGAAGTATCTGAAGTATCTCTATCTGTTCGTGATCTGCTTGCATTATTTGTGTGTGAACATATTCCTTATTTGCTACTTTACTTACAAAAACTCTCCATCTGGGCGACAAAAAACTCGTTTCCTTTAATTGTTCTGCTCGTTTTGGTTTTTATGGATTTTTTGTTTCAATTTAATACCACATTATCCTAAATCGATTTAAATCTTTTGTGCAATTGTTCTTTGTCTTTTCAAAGTTCCTAAGCAAACCTTAATGAAAATAATATAAAATTCGTTTCGCATTAAATTAATTGCTAAAACACCGGGGCAACAATTGAATTCTGGTGTGTCGTGAAATGTCATGAAACCTTCCCAACTTTTACAAAACTTAAATGTTAAATCTCGCATTGGCTAGACTATTTGAACCTAACGACAGCTATATGTATATTTAAATTGTTTATCTATTCACGGAAGCTCAACGAACAGACATTTCAAATCCTAAATGGAAATAAGATATTTTGCGGGTACAAATAATTATAAACTTCTGGAAGGGTTTGTTCTTAATACTGTTTGAAGAACTTATAATGGTTAGTTAAATTGAACTATTGTCAAAACTTATGGATAATGCAAAATGATCTGCCTTCTATGCCGTTCCTTTAGATTAAAATTTCACAAAACATTTTTAGCCTTATTTTTAGATTCTTACACTTGCTCGACTGCATTTCAAATAATACTTCGAAAATAATAGATATCCCTAAACAAAACACATCGAAAGCTATTTCAAAATAGGTCAATAAATAATATATTGTTTGAAAAACACTCAATCAAAATCATAAAAAATTATATTCTTTCCTTTAAATAGGTTTATTTTTTCAAAGACTAGCGTTTGAAACTTTTGGCAGGGCAATCATGAACAGATTTAAAAAAGATAAATAAAGTCTCGTTTTTGTTCATGGTTCCCTGCCTTGTAAAAAAAAACACAATAATGACACATATTATTCAAATGACCAGAAGTTTGATTTCTTCCACAGTGATCAAGTGTATCGCGCAATATAAATCTTACGGAACTCCTTAATACCCTACAAAAGTACTACAAACGGAACTTAGATTTAACCATCCTATCTTCTGCCATTTCTTCTCTTCAGGATTCTTCAGACTAAGAAGCGTGCCTCCGGCTCCCAAACATTTCTCCACTTTCGTTTAAAAGCTTATTTCTAAAGGAGAACCTTGAGCTACAACAACAACTACTAAATGACACTGGCGATTCCAACGACCACGCCCACTATTATTCAAGTTGTCCGCGCCGATGGCCACGATGACCACGATGGTGGCGATGCTGGCGACGATGGTTCCTGGCCTCCGCCTCCGTTTCGCTGTCGGTATCCTCCTGACCCCGCTGGCGGTCCTGGTGATCCCGTCCACGATCGTCCACCTCCTCCTCCTCCTCCTCATCTTCATCATCGTCAATGGCATCCTCATCGTGCTCGTTGAGCAGCAGCGGACTATCGTCCCCCAGGCGATTGGGGGGCAGGGCACTGCCCGGCGTTGTGGGTGCCGATCGGGTGATCCAACCCTTGCGAGCCACTCGTCCCCGGTTCACAAAGAAGCTGGCGCCGCTGACCACGCTGCTCACCGGACTCTTGAGCACACAGCGCTGTGCACCTGACCCGGATCCCCCGATGGCCGCCATGGGTATGTACAGAGCCTTGTTGGGTTGCGTTTTGCTGCCGGAGGAGGTGAAGAACTTTTTACTCCGCCCGCTGGTGACGCCGGAAATGGATGCGGATGTGGTTAGGATGGGCTGCAACACCTGCTGGGAGTTCGAGGGCGTCGATAGCGTGTGCTGCAGCCGGGGCTTGGCTCCAGTTCCGCTCAGCAGTAGCTGTTCGTAGCTAACGCCCGCCTGCAGCTGGCGGATCTGGTCGAGAATCTCGCGCACCTCGCCCGTCGGACTGGTGGCCTGGGGCGGCGAGCCCGGTGTTCCAATATTCGCCAGACTACTCACGCCGGACACCTGAGCTGATGGCTGGCAGCAGTTCTCCAGACTGTGCAGCGGGTTGGGTTGGATGCAGCCATTGCTGTATATCACCGGTGTGCCAGATCCGGCCGATGCGCCCGTGGCACCCGTTACCGATCCTCCCAAGCCGCCCATTGCCAGGCTGCTCAGGGAGGCGGCCTGTGTGGCCGATCCACTTTCCGCACCCTGAAAGGCACCGCCAGCTCCTCCGCTTTCGGGTAGCATTCCTGCATGAAGTTACGTATTACAATAAATTGACAAGCTGTGCTAAAGAAATCTCTAATCCCAACACCCACCTGCCACACAGCTATTGTTCACAAAGATGTCGCTGAGACTGCTGCTGCTATTCGCCATGTACCGGAAGTGCTGATCACTCTGGGACTGGAGGTAGCCCACACCAACGCCCACGCCCACACCCTCCTCGTGGGAGGCATGCAGCCGCGTGCTGTAGAGCGCTGCTCCGCCGGGAGCACTGCCCAGTGCCACGGTGGCATAGTGCTGGGCCTGCGTCTGGGCGGGCATCAGTCTGGGCTGATAGGCATCCGTCTCCACCAGTTGGGATGCCGATCTGGGCATGGCGTAGTGCACAGATGCCAGCGGAGCATTTGGCACCTGGTGCGGTGCCGCCTGATCCACGGATCTCAGATGGCTATTCCCGTGTCCGTGGGCATTCCCATTGGCATTGGCATGTGCATGGGCATGGGCGACATAATGATGCAGTCCCAACTCCGGACTGGCTGCCCGGGAATATGGTGGTGGCACCAGGGTATTCGCCTCATTGGCATTGCAAATGAAGCTGGAGCTGAGGGAGTCGACGGTGCTGGCCGCACTCAGGGATCCCCCGGCAGCCGGACGGACGATGTAGTTCCGGAAGTACTGCACCATCAGGTAGCTGGAGCTGCCGTTACCCTTGCCATTGCCCGAATCGGTGTTGCAGGTGAAGACGAGCGGATACAGATCCGGTTTGGAGGTCACCTGAGAATGGAAATTGTTAGGCGAATCGATTGCGCGCATGTATAGCATTACTTACCTCCGTGTAGGGTGGCGGCGGATGGTGAAACGAGTTGCAGCGACTATATTGTGGAGGAGCATAGCAGGAACCGGCGGAATCGCCCTCGGATTGGGTGTGGTGCTCGTTGAATCCCCAGCCGCACAGTGTCCTCCGTTTCTTCCATAGCGAGTAGGCACACAAGATGGCCAAAATGATGGCCACAACCACGCACCTGCAAGGAGAGTATATTTCGGATCAATATTTCTGTATTAAAACGAGGATCGTTATTCACTGCTCGGTTTGCAGCTGACGCGACTGAATGAAGAAGCCCATTGGAGCGGATCCGAATGTGGATACGTCTCCGTGTCCTGCTGTTCCCGTAATCGAATTCCGACTGAAATTTGTTTGCCTTTTCGGTGGCCAAGAGATGGGATTATATGAGCTGGGTGGCGGTGGGCGGGTTCCGTTTGTGTCTCATTAGTTGGCATTGCCATTTCCACAGCCCCCAAGGGAGGTGGTTGGTACTATGTGATGTGGTGGTAGTGGTGGCATAGCATGGAGGTGCAGCTTGCATAAGCCTCTCGACTTGACTCGACTTTTGACTTGACGCAACCCCGTCGCCGGGCGCCACCTTTGCTGCCAATAATAATAATATCTCGCATGACACACAATGCCAATCAGCTGGAAGTCCGGCCAGAGCACGAGCACACCCAAAACCCCATCCAGTCCATACAAATCATTGCACCATCCCACCATTCCACCGTCCCACCATCCCACCATCCCAACGCCCCAAAACCCGCCCCATTGAACGGCCTTGCAGCCGACCTCCGGGGAATCCCCAAAAACAAATGCCATCCATGACCATGACCATCGCAGTAACTAAATAAATCACTCTCACTTTGCGCAATTAAAATAATCACAATCTAGGAAATATCCCAAGCAACTAACTAGCTTTTAAGATCTCGAAACACTTGAATACTTACAAGTAAGTTAGATAGATAGAAAAGTTCCCAAAAGGAGCACCTACTCACCAGAAAAACCAGTGGGTGGCGAAGAACAGATTGAGAACATGCGAGTCCGAGGAGGGCGGAAGGGGGCGTGGCCCGCCCTGGTACGGCGGACAGCAGCCCTGGGTGCAACAGCCCTGAGTGCAGCCCTCACAAAATCTGGCAGACACCTGGGAAAATAGAAGAAACGTATTGCATATATTAGTTCAATCATAACAAATCTCACCCACTTTAAATAAATCAAAATGATTTATTCCACTTTTTATAGATCCCCCCTTTGTGATACAACAATATTGTGTCGGAAAATGACTTGTTTTTCTAGCCAACAATTACATTTATATAAACAATATAAACAACAATATAAACAACCGCATGTTTTGTGGTGTCCTGCATAGCGAGTGACCACTGTGCTGAGCACTTGTTATTGTGCTCATATTTATGAGTGTGTGCAATGCATTTATTACCGTTGGGAAACCAATTGCAATCAAGTTAAAATTCAGAGGTGCATGCAACATGGATGCTCTTGCGTTTATTTACGAAACTTTTTACTCCGTTAAGCTGTTTTATTTTGTTTAATGCAGTTTAAATGCTACCAAGGAACAATAATTGTATTACAAGGGTTCCTAGGAGTATGCAGTGAAACGAATAGTTTCCAAATGAATTCGCGGCTGTTTTGGATCAAAAATATAGTGCTACACTATACAAGCACATTCACAAGGGATTTTTATCACCTTGGCAATTCACGTATGCATGTGTTCAATTTAAAAGCGTTTAAAAATTAACGAAAGCATAACTTGTTGTTGTTTTTCGGTTATTCAGCTAGTTTGAGTGCTTGCAACATTGATGAGATGAAGGGCACTTACGTTCGCTGGCAGCAGCGCCAAAAGGAGGAAGAAGGAGAGCAGGAGACACTGCAGCGCGTTCGTGTGCGTGGGAGAGGGACGGAGCAACATCTTTCTCAACCGCTGCCGCTGGCGCTGCCTCCGTCGACGCCGCGGTCGCAGTCGCTGCTCGGGCTGGCGCCAAATGTCCTATGGGGCTGGGGGGAGGAGATGCGGGGAGTGTGTGCGCCTCTCCGTTATTTTCTCCGATTTTTCGCCTCCTTCTTCTTGTCGCAGCCTCCGTTTTATGTCCGCTTTCCTACGTTTTTGGCCCTCGTGTGTGATTTGTTCCTGCCCTTTGTTTTGTTTTCCTATCTGGCTTTCTTTCTGTTTCTCTTGCTGTTGATACTTTGCAGTTCCGTTATTTGTGCCACATGCTGTTGTTGCTACTGTTGTTGTGGTCGCACTCACACAAGCAGCGTTTTGTTTTGTCCTTGACAGACGCCAAATGCAATTTAGCGCAGCATGCTTTTGTGCGTTGCGTTGCGATTGTTGCTGCTACTGCTACTGCTGCTGTTGTTGTTCTTGTTCTTGTTGTTGCTGCTGTTGCTGCTGCAGAGAAGAGAGAATTTGTTGCTAACTGAGTGCTGCATTGTATTATTTATCTTATGGCACACCATCTACAACACATTCGCACAAGGGAGCACCAGCGCACACACACACACACACATGCACAAACACCTCGACGACGCCAAAGAAAATTTTCTTTCGTGTGACGCCACTCGTTTTCTTTCTCTGCCGTTCACAATTTAAATCTAAACACTGGCTTTGAAACACACGGCAGTCTGGAAAATTCACTAAAGGAACCCTCTGTAATTGTTGTTCAAAAAATTCAAGGCATATAGAAGACAACAACAACAGGAGTAGGAGTAGCAGGATATTCGTTTGCGGGTGGTGGGTAACGGGGGTGGGGAAATGCGAATCAAGGCGCAAAGCGGAATTCACCGTTAGCCTCAAACGTGGGAGCGCGCACAGCAACAACTGAGCGACAAAAACGGAAACAAAGGAGCTGCTGAGCTTTGTAACTGCCGGTCAGGATTGCCACCCCGCGCGCAGAACTAAGGATTGAAACCATATTTGTTGCAAGAATCTAAAAGTGTGCTACAAAGTTGTTCAACTTCGCTTCTTGCAAGCTATAATATTTTATAGAACTGCATATTTTCAGGTATCACATTAAGTGACGCAGAATATATCCTTAATAATTTTAAAACGCATATTTAGTTTGATTTCATAGTTTTAATATGCATTCCTTAATATGCTTATAAATTAAAATAAAAGCAAGAGTGTGGCTGCCAGTGGAAATTAAAATTCTTTATATTAAAATATCGACTAAGAAACTCTTTATACACAACTTTTGGCAAAAACGCCTAAGTTTACCAATTCCTTGTTAGCCTGGCAACCCCAACAGCTGATAGTGATTTACTAAACGGAAGCAAGAGGGATGATAAAACGGCGCATGAGCTAAAAGGGCGCAAATTTATAAATACAAATCTTTAAATAACAAAAGTAACTAGCTTAATTCTTTAAAGTACTATATTGATTATAAAAAAAGTGCAAATTTGAGGTAACTAAGTAAGCATTAAAATCAGCATTAATTAGGAGTAAAAACCTATTCTTAAGATCTGTGAAACGTAATCTACTTTACTTTGAAAAACGATGCGATGCTCTTGGTGCCCTTGGCTCCTTTGGCCAGGGCCTTCTCCTTGGCGGTCAGCGAGCGCTCCTTTAGAGGTGCCGCTGTGGGCGATGTGATGCTGGCATTGGGATCGCCATCGCTGTCCACCAGACCGCTGGACTTCAGCTTTGCAGCGGCATCGCTGTCATTAAGCTTGATCTTTTTGGAGTCGCTGCCCTCGTCCTTGCCCGCCATCGATTTGCGCTTTTGGGCAGCTGCTTTCTCTTCAACAATTGCCTGAATCTCGCTGGGAATGTGCAGGTAATTGATGAGCAGGCCGTGCAGATCCGCATCCAGATACCGTCCCACAATATCGCAGGCCATGCGCGTGTAGTCCATCTCGTTGCTAACGTTCTCCGCTGCCAGTTTCTCGCTTCGCACAAAATTCTGCGACTGTGCACTGTGTCCGCAGTGGACTTGCTTCTCCTTCAGTATTCTCACCACCTGACGCGTTTTCAGCGCCAACCAGGCCAACGTTCGCTCTTGGTTGTACCTGTAGAACTTCTGCTCGCCGGAGGACTTCACATCCGCCACGCATTTAAGGTTCTCTGGATCGAGAATCTCGTTAAGTAGACGACTGGTGCTGGCCTCCTCCACGGCAATGTTGTCCAGCGACATTGCTTCTATTTTATATTAAAGATTTTCAAAATACAATACGGATATTTTCGAAAACGAGAATGAGTATATCTTACTTTGCGCACAATGTTTTCGGAGGTGATAGAGAGCCAGGAGCGTAGGATCCACGGGCGTAGTCATGTAGATTCTGCCATTAGAGCAGACTTCGCTATTCACGAGCCAACTACGACGTGGTTCCGCGTACTCCACGAACTCCATTATTCTGCCATCGGGATGGGTCATGAACAGTGCCTCCTTGCCATGTCCCGGATGAAAAAACCGCTCCAGCCGTAGGTGCCCGTCGTCCGCATCCTTCGGCAGCAGTTCCTGCGACATGAACAAAACCTTCTTAAGCGCCGAGGCCTTGGACATCTTGGCAGATCCCTCCGCATCCGGATCCGCTTTTGGTTTGCTCGCACGCGTTGCCTTCTTGCTCATTTTCTCGAATAATTGCAACTGTAAATAACAATTGGCCAAACGAACCAAAACAAAGACTTTGCCGCCTTTTTGTCTATCGATATAAGCCTATCGATTAGTTTTGGTATTTAATAGTTTAAAGAGTCCGAATTTTAACATATTCATATAAACTATTTCATCTGTTTCACGCTAAACAGACGTACTTAAAAGTAGTCTCTGCCACTAACTTTCGCTTCATAATACTGAAACTTGTCCAAAATGGGTATTATCTTGGGTTGACAAGCGCGGTCACATTGTTTGAATTGTTGTTCAAAATGATGAAATTGTTTACAACTGAATATTGATGTTGAACAACGCAAAATGAGCGTAGATATAGCCAGCACGATTAAATTCCGGGATATTTGCAGTTTGTTCGAGAAGCTGAAGGCCTCCAAGAAGGTGGCTAGCAAGGAGGAGGTGCTCAAGAGCTACTACGAGTCCTTCTGCCGGCACCGCGAATCCTTTCGCCGGCAAACCGGATTAAACGATGAACAGCCGGAGAACGGTGTCAGTAGCTTCTACTCCGTGCTGCGACTGCTGCTTCCCGGTGCGGACACTGGTCGGGATACCTATGGACTGCAGATCACCGCGCTGGGCAGGCTCTACATCAGGGTGCTCCAGCTAACCACGGACTGTGAGTGGAGAAACTCGTGGGCGATGGCATTACGGACATATTTAGAATCTCTTTGTTGTCCCCACTAGCCAGCGATGCTATCAAATTGCAGCACCGCACCGGAAACATGTACCGGGACTACGGTGATGTCGTTTATTCCGTGCTCAAGCCAAGGTGCTTTAATCCGCCCAGCGATTTGAGACTGAATCACATCCATCAGATGCTGGACACCATTGCCAACGAGGACACAGAAGGTGTGTGCTATAAACTATAAGACTATATCAAAATCACCACTCCTTGCAGTTAAGCAGCAACAGCTTATCCGGTTTACGGAGCAGGCCTCGCCCGAGGAGCAAAAGTGGCTAATCCGGTTGCTGCTAAAGAGCCTTGGGCTGGGGATCGGGGAGCAAAAGATCTTCGGTGTGCTGCATCCCAAGGCGCAAGACATCTACCAGCGCTGCTCCGATCTTGGACATGTGTGCAATCTGCTGGCAGACCGGACTACCGACCTAGACGCCAGCACCAGCAAGGACAGTAAAGCGGCGGTCAAGTTTGTTAACCTGAATTCCGTCATCCGGCCATTCCACCAGATACGACCCATGCTGTGCGAACGTTTCCCGGGGGACATTCAGGAGCTGATGCAGTCGGATGTGCTCTATCTGGAGACCAAAATGGATGGCGAACGCTTTCAGCTGCACATCGATCGGGGTCGTTTCATGTACATTTCCCGCAATGGAGTGGACTACACCAGGAACTTTGGCCACAGTTACGATCACGGCACATTGACGCCTAAGCTGAGGGGCCTTCTGCCTTTGGGCCTGGAGTCCATCATCCTGGACGGCGAGATGATGGTGTGGGACACCAATCATCTGCGGTTTCGGGAAAAAGGCGAGAACACGGACGTGAAGAACCTGAAGCCGGAGGGCAGCTGGCAGCCCTGTTTCGTGGTCTACGATCTGCTATATTTCAATGGCCAGAGTCTGCTGGATCATACCTACATTCAGCGAGCGTACAAGTTACAGAAACTCATAGTTGAACAGTCAGGTGTGCTGCAGTTAATGCGTGCCCGCAAAATCGGTTCCGTCAAAGAGTTCAACGAGCTGTTCCAGCAGGCACTCGACTCCCACGCCGAGGGCATTGTGCTGAAGAAGCAGGGATCCAGATATCACCCAGGCGTAAGACTGGGCGGTGGGTGGTATAAGGACAAGGCTGATGTAAGTTGATTTTTTTTTCGCAGAGTGGAATAATATGAACTCACTTTAATGTTCCAACCAGTACATCAAGGGGCTGATCACCGAGTTCGATGTGCTGATCATCGGTGCATTCTACAACCGCAAGCGCACCTTTGTGGACTCATTTTTGCTTGGAGTTCTTCAGCCAGCGCCGCCTGGCAGCTCCAATCGTCCCGAAGTCTTCAGTATTGGAGTGGTTGCCAACAATACGAAACAGCGCGGAGTGCTAAATCACACTCTGAAACCACATTGGCATGATGTAGTCAATGAGCCACCGCCACTGTGGTTTCACTACAAGCCCAATGAGAGGTCCGGATGCCCCGATCTGTGGATCGAACCGCACAACTCGATAATTTTGCAGGTGAAAGCTGCCGACCTGGCTCCAAATGGAGCATTTTTCACCCGAAAATCGTTACACTTTCCACGCACTGAGATGAAACGAGATGATAAGCCCTGGAGCGAATGTATGACACTTAAGGAGTTTAACGACCTATGCAAGGGTTCCTTGGCTATCAAGAAGTTAAACAAGCGCCAGTTGCGACTAGAGGATGTGACAACCAAGCGGAAGCAGATGCGGATGACGCCCTCTGAGCGAAGCCGTCTGGGATTGGCCGTCTATGAGAAGCGCTATAACGTAGACCCCTCCGTTAGCAGTTCCAAACTCTTCGACGGTCTGAGCTTTTGCATTCTGAGCGGATCTGCCGGACGACATAGCAAGCATCAGCTGCAGGAGCTGGCTGTCAAAAACGGTGGCTGCATCGTGGAGAATCCGCTGCCCAACGATCCGAAGTGCTTTTGCATTGCAGGCGATGAGACGTTTCTAGTTAAGCGGCTCATCCTTCAAAAGCCACGCACCTGTGACATTGTGCGCATGGAGTGGCTGCTGAGGGTCTGCCAAAAGCAAGAGCTTGAACTGAGGCCTAGGGATCTTATTGCGGCCACTGAACCACTGCAGCAGGATCTGGCTGAGTGTTTTGACCGGCACGGTGATAGCTACAGTAAAGACATTGCCAACGTGGAGGAGTTGCAGGACCTTCTGCGAGACATAAAGTTGACAGCTGAGAATGTGGATGGCATAAGCGCATCTAAACTAAATGCTCTAGAGGATCAGCTCCTGGATGGAAAACAGAACCTAAACATGTTCCGGCATCTTCATGCGTATTTTTATAGACCGGAAGGCGATGAATTAGCCAAGCTTCTGTTTATGCAAAATGGCGGCCGGATAGTCGACGATTCCGATCCGCAACTAAATCTTGGATTTATTTGTATGTCTTCTGACATAGATAACGACCACTTCAAGCACTGGCTTCACAATCATTCAAAGTTGAGCGCTGACAAGGTCTTAAACTCGGCATGGATCCATCAGTGTTATCGGGAAGGCATTCTACTTCCTATGCACTGTTTCCTACAAGACGATGAGTTTGTTAAAGTTTTATAGTTTTGTAAAAAATTACCTGTTGTCCTTGTTATAAAATTCTACCTAAACCTGTTATAAACCCATATTGAGCATATTTTTTTCTATTTTTTGTATATTTATAAGAATTTATCCAAATTCTAATGCTATATCTGTCTGCTATATATCATGGAGTATTTTCTCTGGCCTTTAATAAAGCTGAACATATAATAACATATATTTGTAATTTGATTACTTCACTAATTGGTGGAAATAAATATTCAACAGTTATTTTTTAAGATTTCGTTTTTATTCACATAAAAAGAGATAACGAGCAGAATAGTATTGATTCCGTTGGGATGCTTTTGGACAAAATTTGGGGTAATGTGGATGTAAGGTTTTTAATATTTCGCCAATTGATACGTTTGACAGTTCGGTTACAAAGTTCCGGGAGTTCTTTTCGGGTATTTCAATGGATTATCGGTTCTGCTTTTTGGGCAATAAGAACATCAAAAATACATTTATTATATTCATTGTAAAGTTATATGTATATGCTTGTATATATAACATAAATAATGTATATATCGGTGTATAACATTTAACACTAACAATTCTTAAGCGCGAGCTCTTCGCTCTCTCTCTCTCTTTCTCTCTGTCTCCCTCCATCTCACTTGTACCCTCTGACGCTATCCCTATCTTTCATTAAATTGACTAACATTTAATTTTATGAGGAATATGCAATCTCTGAGATTGTTTAACACATTTATCGACTCTATGAACATATAGATTACGTATGTCAATCAAATTGATTAAACTTTATGAAGCTAATACCAACAAAAAAAGCATTATTAGTTTCACTTTCTCAGTTAGTTTGATTCTTGGGAGTGGGCGAAATTCGTGTTTGGAATATTTGTAGACGTTTATACATACATAAATAGTTGGGCTTGGGCATACAAATGCGGAGTTCTCTCGATCTTGATCTTTATTTGGGGTATAACAAGTGTTGAAGTTCATTCAATTGGTAATCTGTATATTAAACTTAGTCGTTACTTTTCAATGTAGTTTGGTTGTGGGTTTGTTCTCTTATATTTTGAGTTTTGTGTTTCTTATTCTGGTATGGTAAATAGGTTACAACGCTACACATAACAACTATCAACATTAAGGGTATGCATAATAATAGCGATTTCATAATAATAATAATAACATTAGTTACATCTTTATTTGTGTATGGTCCTTCAATATAATTGAAAATAAAAATGATTAAATCATAAACAAAATAATAATTGCATTTTCTTTAAATCAAAAGTCTTTTGGAATTTCTCGCATATTCATTATATTCGTAGCTACACATAATATGTACTTTTTTTTTTATAAATTATTAACTGTATAATAATAATTTCTTTTTGTGGTTTTCTTTTGACCCAAAATTAAATAAGCTTAATTTTACTACCAAAACGTTTAGTTAGGCTTAAATTGTAAAATATATCTAAAATTCTCAAACAAATAAAAGGAAGTTTACAAATCAGACTTCAATATGAAAATAGTTCTTCCAGCAAAGAGTGTAATAAACATTTGTTCCATGAAAGTTAATTCTTTCTATAATTATCGATTTCAAGGTTTATATTTGAATTCCTCACTTTCTGTTTTCATTCTTCACTTTCGGGATTTCACTTTATATTTCGTAGGTATATGGCAGTCGTTATCATTGTTTAATTTAACCTTTTGAGATAAGATGATCATTTTTTAAAAATCAATATTAATATAACAAAAAAAAAAAAAAAAAAACATTAAATGTAGGTATTTTTATAAAATAGGGTTTATTCCTAAACGTAAGCAAATCTAAAGCTACTAATGTGTTTGTATTTGTGGTTTTTATCCTCTGATCCCGTTTCTAATCCATCCGCTTGGTCAAAAAGTTGGTCCACATGAAACCTTTAATCCGTCTTATCGTTTGTGTTTTCTTTTGTGTGTGTCTATACTACATTTATACTTAAGACTAAGCCTGTGTAGGAGTGACAATTATAGTTGATTAAAAAAAAAGCAAGTCCACATAGTTTAATTTGTTGATCTGAAGCCGTTTAAACTGTAAAAAATGTGGAAGAAATCAATTAGTTAGTAAGCAAAACACATAAGATATAATATCAAAAGGGGATTACGAAGGCACTCACGCTGATCAAAGGTGCTCGGGTTGATGTAGCTGATCAGATCCTGATCCGACATCGTGGTCAGTTCCTGGGGAATGGGCGGCTGCACCGCCACGGCGGCCGCTGCGGCTACCGCTCCAACCGCTGCCGGAAGTATGCTGCCCGCTGTGCTTGGGGCAGATGCCTGCTGCATCATCACTGCTCCATTGGTGGTCACTGCGGCGGTGGCCACCGACTTTTGCAGCGCATTCTCGCTGGCCAGCGCAACGATCAGAGATTCTTGTGGTGTCGGCGGCACCACCGGCAAGTGGTGACCATGATGGTGACTGGTCACATGTCCGGAAACGTGTCCCGTGACGCGACTGTGGCTGTGACTGTGACCATGATGACCATGGTGGCTGCGGTGACTGTGATTCATAGACTGAAAATTGGCAGCTTCTACAGCTACCGCGGCAGCGGCAGCTGCCGCTGTTTCTGGTGTGCTTGAGTGGTTCAACAGGAGATTAACCAATGGATCCGATGCCGTCTCGGCAGGATTACCGCTCACTCCGACGGCTGCCTGCGGCGAATGGGAGTGGACGCGACCATGGTGATGGTAGTGGTGCTGCTCTTGCTCCTGGGTGGTTATAAAGTCCGCCGCCGCCTTGATAATCATGTTGCTGACCGCAGTGGATGTGGCAGTGGCAGCGACCTCTGGCTGCATAACCGCTGGTGTCGGTGGCAGCGTGTCCACAACTCCAACACCCGATGCCGCGGTGGGTGGACTCATCATGATGTTACTCAATGCCAAGGCTGCTACGGCTGCATCCTGCTGGGTAGGTTCCGGCTGCATGGCTATGTCGTTCAAAATGGAGTTGGCCATGGTCACTTGGTGGGGTGCCAGTATATTGGGAACCACAGCAGTGGCCGCTCCATTTGCCGAGCACAAAATTGTCGAGGGCGAAACGGCGGGATTCATGATGATATCGGTGGACAGACCACCGGTGACATCGACAGGCGTCGGGCCACCCAAGGCAGCAGCTCCGGCCAGAGCTGCCGCCGGCTCCGAATTGAGTATGATGTCCTGACTCAGGGGTGAACTATTCGGGGAAGTCTCACTGCCACTCATGGAGCTGCTGGAATTCGTGGAGCTTAGGGACAAACTCCTTTCCAGCACCACATTGGGCGGCGCAATGCCCACTTTGGCCTGCAGAATATCGGTTAGAGCATGATCAATCACCGCCGAGGTGGTGAACAGTGCCGGTTCAGTGGTGCCGTTGCTGGAAACCACCGATGTGGATTTGGTCAGTTCATCAATGAACTTGTGCACCTGTTGCTGCTGCTGTTGTTGCTGCTGCTGCTGCTGTTGTTGTTGTTGCTGCTGCTGCTGTTGCTGCTGCTGTTGTTGCTGGGGCTGTTGTTGCTGCTGCTGTTGCTGCTGCTGTTGTTGCTGCTGTTGCTGCTCTTGCATCTGCTCCTGCATCTGCTGGTGCTGCTGCACGACATGCTTCACAATCTCGTTCTTAACGGCCAGTTCCACCGCCACAGCCACCGCCGCCGGATCAATATCCACTGCAGCGGCCACAGCGGCAGCAGTAGCTGGTGCCACCACGGCCGGGAAACCGGGCAGACTGTTAGACTGATCGTACATAATGGTGTCGAGGCTGGGCTTCCGTGCAAAGCGATGATACTGCAAGGCTGCGTTCGGGCTGTCCGGTGTGGATTCACCGGTCAGGGGACTGTGCGAGTTGCTGTCGTCGAGTTCCGTCTTCAATGCCTCCGCACTGGCCGCCACTGCGTTGAGATGGACCAGCTGCTGGTCCGTGATCATCGGCGTGACACTGGGCAGCGAGGAGCGTCGAACGCCCATAGGTATTTGGGTGGTGATGGGCGGAGGCATCATGCCCGAATCGATCTCGTGCTTGGCCTCCACTGCGTCGCCCGGAGATGGGTTGTTCCCAGAACCGCCTGCCCCACTCCAACCACTGGAGCCACTCGCATTGGACGCTGCTGTGGTGTCCATGAAACTGCTCACATCTACAAGAGGAACAATGGACAGAAAAGAGGCCTCTTAGTAATCTCATTTTGGTGGTATGTCATGCAAGAATCATTGGGTCGTAATATAAGAAATCATAAAAAACAAAGATATAATAAAGGGCAGTCAGGGTATTTTTTTTTTTTTTTTTTTTGAGGGGTGGGTGGTCTCTTAATCCTAAGCCAGGTTTCTGAGATAGAGTCTTGAGAGGGATTTGCAGAGAGAGGTCCGAAAAATCCGAGTGCCTTTCCCTTCTTTCCGGAGCTACTACAACTTACAAACTAAAAAAACTTAAACTATAGCGACAGAAAAGCACTCGTATTCTCTGGATCTGCAATCTCCGCAGGGTCATTGGTATCTAAATCTAAATCTTAGGAAATAGTTAAAACTAGATGTCTATTTTATTTTAGGTTCTTAAGAGTATATAAGCTTGGCTACGAAGTTTCACAGGCAAATTCTTTCACACGGCACTTAGTAAAGGGAATAGAACAACAAGATAGCTACGAAAAAGGTCTTCAAATATTCTTAGAACATTTCTTCTCTCAACGGCACACACAAAAATGACTGACTGACTGACTAAATCAAACCACACCAAGCTGACCAGATCGATTATAAAAGTAATCATTGAACACTACAAATGACAAGACAAACCCGATCGAAAATGGATCGGACAGACTCTTCTAAGTAAGCCTTAAGTCTTCATCAATCACACAGCTAAAAACAAGATTTGATTAACAACTATTTCAGAACACCAGACGTTACGAAACTATGCCATTCAACTAATTCACATCAGCTATCGCACAAATCAACAGTCATTCACCAATCGTAAAGTTTATGCACTCATTCATTCAATCACATTGGCGCACTCCAAGCTTTTTCGTTTGCTAAGGAATATACTTAATAGTTACATCTAATTGCTGAACTTAGGTACTATTGCTTAGATTTAGGGTGTTTATGGATTAGTATTAGGAGCCAGAAAACCCAAAATTTCCCAGTTCTATTTCCCGATTCCTAAGCGGGGTCGCATTGATCTAAAGCTGTTGTCGTTCTCTAGGCGTAATGTTGAGGCTCTGAAGTCGAGCGATGCTTGAATTTCCACTCGTTCTAGACGAGTCCCATCACTACCACCTCTAAGTTTGGGTCTTTCAGAACAAGTTCCCGCTCATAGTTCCTAAAGTTTAAAATCAAAGTTTTTCTCTTATACATTTGAGTTTTGTTTGAGATTTTTAACTGCACTCGAACTGTCTGTAGACTGTCTGTATATTGCATTCCATTTATTCCTGAGGCTTAGGTCTTCACATAGAACTGCGAATTCTGTACATAAATGTTTTGATTAGACAGAGGAGAAGGAAACTGATATTTAAAGGGTATGCAATGAATGTTTTAGGTAAGAAATGTAATTATATAGGTTACCATACATTTTTCAAAGATTCCCCATCTTTGTAATGAAATTATTGGAAGAAAAGTTATAAGAAATTATAAGTAGGGGAATATAAAATTAAATTTTTTAAGGATTTCAAGGGATTACAAAATGATGTCGAAAATCGAAGCTATTTCATAGCTAATCTAGCCAAATTATCTGAGCCCTAACATATGACAGCTCCGGAACGATCTCAAGGTATTCACAAACAGGACAGGACAAAAAAATCTTTAGATGGTGTTAGCTTTATGTGAGTACGCAAATATATGGTATTTCTATATATAAATGTATATAGACGCTTAAAGGTAATGCTCTAAGGTTATATGTGAAATGGGGTTCCCTTATAGTTAATAGCAATGGTAAATGTGGTGTGTGAGTGTGTGTGGGGCAGGGTATTGTGTGTGTGTGTATTTATTAATAGACATATAGAAAATGGTTTACGAAAGGCAAAAAAGAATTTGTACGTTGGTCAATCGGTAATTATTTTTTTGGTAATTTGTTTCTGTAAGAGTTGAATGGTTTTTTTTGTGTATTTTTTTTTTTTTTTAACCAGTACCCTAAAATTATCCTTGATGCTGTAGTTGCTGTTGTTGTTGAAGGTTAGAGATGGGCTAGAGATGAGCAGAGGTGGCTGTGTTGAAGACTCGTTGGGGCTGAAAATCCGTCGCCGATCATCATTTCCTATGGGGTTGGATAGGATTTTGCTGCTTTGGTGCCATAGGTCCTTTAAATTGTTTATATATCTCGATTCTGTGTGTCTGTGTGACGTGTGTGGGTGTGTGAGTATCTATCGCCATCGAACGCAAGCGATTGGCAGTCACTTATCGAGCGATTGCTGCGATTCTTTCGATTACATCGCTTTTGTCCAGCGTTGCTTTCCAGGCAAGCTTTCGATTTATTTCTTCGCTTTTCGTTGGCCACTTTGCTATGGATACTGTTCGTGTTTGTATATATAGAGAGATACAGGATATATCGGTGTCTATATACTTGTTATATTGACTGTCGATTAATGACTTAATTTGGATTTAATTTTGGCCTTGCATTTTATAGCACTCAAAAATTTACATATTTGACTATATAGTTAGATTGAGCACCTAAATTGCTAAGAGAAGGGGAAGGAGGAAGAATATAAAGTAAAAATATATATATGCATATTTTCTTTCGGAGGGGGAGGTAGTTTTTTTCTATGGGGGGAGGGGAGAGTTTTTCTTGTTTGTTTATATATTTTTTAAAGACATCCTGATCTTTAATGTTATTTATCATTTTTCCTGACTTGAAAAACAGATTTTATGGGGGGATCTGCCTTGCTGTTCTTCTTGTCTGGTTTATGGGTATATCCTCCCGATATTTCTGCGGCTTCTGCTGCTGCTGAATCATCGTGTGTTGGTTTATGTTCGATTTCTTTTATATTATCGCTTTGGTTTTGCTTTCCTTCATCTGTTTTTGTGTATTTTTCTCGGCTGAACATGATCAAGAAAACTCTGCAATTCATTCAAAATACCCCCAGCACAAACACACACGTATTCAAATAAGCAAACACACACGGAAACACTCGACCAAACAAACAAGCAAACAAACACAGGCACACGCATAACTTAAGCAAGAAGAAAAGTCCCCAGGAAAAGCGAAACTTTGGTTTTGTTTAAGTACATATTTAAAAAAAGCAAGGAAAATCGACTCAGGCATGGTTGAAAATATTCTACACAGAAAATGATATTAAACTAGAATAGAAAAAACTATTCTTCATCATCGCAAAGGAACGGTTTGGAGGGAAAAATCAAGTTCATTCATTCGGCAGAGTTGTTTCGATCAGTTTCCGGTTCCGCTCCTGATTTTTTATTTTTTTTTTTCGGTGGTGGGTAAGAGCAGAGACGAAGAGAGAGGAGGAGAGAGTAAGAGTGAGAGACGGGAGGTGGGGGAAGACTGGAGGAGTCGGTTCTCCGAAGATTTGCACGGTCCTGTGCCTTAATCATTTATGGTTATTAATTTAATTTAGGGCTTTTCGTTTTATCATTTGGTTGTTGTGCTTAAATATTAAGTTATATTTTATGTTATACTTTTCGTTGAATTTGCTCTTTTTTCCTACTTAATTATTAAGGTATTGATATTTTCATGCGTTATTCGATGCCAAATAAACAGTGGGTAGTATGAAGGGAAATGGAGTAGAAAACGTAGCAGGCAAGAAATGAGAATAAAGTTACCCTTCTTAGTGACCCATGTATGCATGAAAATATAATTATTTAGTATATACATATAATAATGAGAAAGCAATGAATTCGACGTCTTTTAGTAGTTTATCAGGCAAAATGTATGGGAACAATGGAAGAAACTATTCAAAATATTCCTTTTAAGCCTTAAACTAACTATTCTGATTTACATGTCGTTCTTTAAATAAATGGCATATGGTACTCCTTCAGTTGTTTGAAATATAAAGAAATAGGTTCCTTAAACCTTGCACTTGTAATAACTCCACAGCCACAATGGTTTTTAAAGTCATCGAATTTTGTTTAACCTTCGTTCTGTATATCTCAGTTCAAAAGCATATTAATTTGGCAAAACAATTTCGTTCAGTTTTCTTTGTGCTGTTAGCTACACACAGACTTGCTAATTGATAAATATATATTTAATAATGAATGCAAATACTTTTAGCCAAACCGCAAACAAAGAGCCACCAAGGAAAGGAGAGAAAGGGAAGTAGATGATAAATAGAAGGGGAAAGGGAAGAGCAGAATAACGCATGAAGAGATCAGTTTGTTTTAGCTATCGCTTATTAATTTATACGATTTGAATAGGTTTCTTTTGTAACCACAAACGTTTCTAGTTTAGCTAAATAATATTCGATTGTTGGATCTGAACAAAATAATAAATCAAAAAATTGCAGCTTCAAAGTGGTTGAGGTACAATAAAAATGACACTAAACATACACTTTAAATAACTGCCTAAGCCTGAAATACCTCATGGATGTATCTTATTAACTTTTTTATTCTATTTTGTTTGCTCGGTTTGATTTCTTTCGGTTTCTATACAGCTAACGATTCGCGATTCGCGATCTCCGACTGGGAGTTTGTGGTTGGTAATTTGGTTGGTTGGGTGCAATCGAACGCTTAGTCAACAAATAGATACCTTGGGCGTGGATTGTGTTACTTAACGTGCTGGCCGCCGCCAGCGTCGTGTATTGTCCCTTGGGCGTGTAGGTGAACGTGTGCGGTTCGCTCTTCTTGCCGCTGGAGACGATCGACACCTGCACCTGGACCGGCTTCAGGATGTTCTGGTGCAGATACGGTGGCACCGTGCAAATCAGATGAGTCTGCGGGCACAATGAGAAGTAGTTGTTAGTTAGCTACGCACATTCACATAACAATCAATGGTATGGGCACGCACCTGGTGTAGGTACTCCTTGTCCGGCAGAACGCTTTGTTCCCATAGAGCGGCGGTTCCACCGATGAGCTGCTGGCGCACTGCGATTTCCGTGGCCGGATCGTCGCCGTTGACGCTGTCGTAGGTCTCCTGGAACACCACGTGTGTGTCCTTCAGAAAGTTCTTGCCGATAATGAACAGCTCGAGGCCGCCATCAACGGGACAGGAGTTTAATGATTTCTTGCATATTTCCGGCACGCCAGGTGGTTGAGCTAAAGGCACGAATATAAAATTAATTACAGTGCAATTAAACAGCCAAATGTGTTGAGCACTCACTGCAGATGATTGGATTCGAGCAGACCTGGAGGGTCTCAGTGGTGCCATCGTCCCGTGTCAACTGGGTGCGGAACACCATCCGGCAGCGAGTCGATTTCTTCTTGTTCTTTTGCGCCAGGTGCTCGGGAAAGCGGTGCTCCACATCCACATTGCGTTCCTGCAAACAAAATGAAAAGTAATTAGAATTTATAACTGCAGCTGAATACAAATCGAAAACTTCTACTGCTGCTTCTGCTAGTTTCGTGACCCACCTTCAGGATTCCAACGCAATCGCAGGTGATGGTCATGTCCGTTTCGGGCTTGAAATCGATCTCAATGACCATGGTGCCGTCGACCTTCTTCTCGTTGCACTGCGTCGAGTTCTTGCCGGCGACCTTGCAGGCCTGGTAGAACATGTGCGGTGCCACGCGTCCAATGTCCGTGCCGATGAACACCTGGAGGACGGCAACCTTGTCGTATCCGGTCAGGCGGACGATGGGGAATCCATTGCCGCTGCGATCCTTGACGGCGCCTCGGCTGCCCTCCGTTTGGTAGCGTGCCCGGTGCTGTTGCTCCGGCTGGGAGACGATCTCCAGCTGCACCTGGCCATCGTTGGAGCTGGCGACGCTGTTCAGCGGGGTAGCGGGTTGCCGTTTGTTGGCCACTCGCGTCACATTCCTGGCCGATATGAATCTGTGGGTTGCAACAAGTAGATCGGAATAGTTCGAACTGTATTAGTCTGTTCTGTTCACTGGCGCAACTTTTCCATTCGATCGTTAAAAATCGATGGCTGAGTTTATTTGTCTAAGGATCGTTAACAAAAAGAAAAAAAACTAGGAACTTGTACTTGAACTTTGGCCGATGAGGAAATCTAGATTCGATACGATTTGGGTTTAATGATTTATGTTTTATTTTTCCCATGTGCTGGCCGAAAAAAGTGATGCTGGGGCGGCATGAGGTTGCATGAATACTTCTTTTTAGATACAAATAGAAAATGCGGTAAAGCTACGAGTACACAGATACGGATTTAGTTAAATATGTAGAGCTGAATAATGAATGATATATGAGTTTTTTGAATGCTGTTAATTACTCACAAACATACACACACGCACATAAAACATAAAAAGGCCGAAAAGGAATTTTTCGCAAATTTTCATTGCTGCACTTTGCATTCTGTTCGGTTCGGTTCGATTCGATTTGTTTTGTTTAAGTAAATCTTGGCTGTGACCAATTGTTTACAATTGTTTCGAATTTATACGCCTTTGTTTACTAACGGACACATACGCACATGTATATGTGTAAATAATGCATACAGAAAGATGGGAACAAACGCACATTTGGCAATTAATAAAGAACAAAAGTCAAAGCCATCAAAGTAAATAATTTGGGAATAGCAAACTTTTTTTTTCGGCTACAGTGTGCAGAGTCAATTATTCTGGCAACGAAATAATTTATTTTGCGGCTCCTAATTGTTTTGCGTCTTGATGGCACTTGTTGTTTAATTTTGAAAGGTAATCCAGTAATTTGTCATTGCTTAAACATTTTTGGGTCATTAAAATATTTTCGGGGCTACTTTCCGTGTTGTTTGTTTTATAAATTGCTTTGTGTATTTTTTTTTAGAATGTATAAACTCTAACAATTTTTTCCGCCAATCTTGTCTGTTTCGCTAACGAAAGTTTGGCTACAAATTTTGTGTCCGTGATATTAGGGCAAATTTTCAGATTGTATTGCTTTCGAGTCTAAATATTTAGTTAAAAATTTGATGTAAACCAAGAGGCATTATTTTGTCCTAAGGTGTATCTAGTTCTGCAGTTTGGTTACAGGTTTTGTGGTTTTAAATTGTAACTAAATTATAGAAAATTTACCAAAGAACGTATTTGTTATTTGTGTGGCAAACTCTGTTTTCTTTCTAACGCTGCAAAAGAAAACACGCTGCTTACTTTGTCTCAATGTTGCTGCTGCTGTTGTTGTTGTTGTTGTTGCTGTTGCAGCTACTGATGCGCGGCAGGAGGCTAACAGTGGGCGTGGCAGATGCGGCGGAGGCGGCATTGGGCGGGGAAGAGGGCGTGGCCTCGACCGCGGATGCCACCGTTACGGAACTGGCAATCTTGCGGATGAACTCATCCTCGCTGCAGGCATCATCGTTGTCCAGTTCCACCTGGTTGCACTCGAGCTTCTTGCGTTTGATGTGCTTGCCATGGCGGTGATGGTGATGTTGTTGGTGGTGATGCGGCTGCTGTTGCTGCGACTGTTGCTGCTGCGACTGTTGCTGCAACAGCAATCCGTTGTACTGAAACTGTTGCTGCTGCACCGTATGCTGCTGCTGCTGTTGTTGCTGTTGCAGGTTGAAGGCATTCACGGCTGCTGCCACAGCTGCCTCGGTTGCCTGGAAGACGTCTCCAAATGGATCCGAGTTGCTATTGCCACCGGCTGCCGTCGAATTGGTGTCGTTCACGAAGCCCGTATCCTCCTCCAAGCCGGTCGGCGTCGAGGTGGCTGAATCCTCCGAGGAGGACGCCGATATCACGTCCAGATCCTCCAGATAGTGAGCCATCATTTTCGAGTCGTGTCGCGATCTATACGTTAACATATATATACAGACATTCATGTACATGGATACACAACAGCAACACACGCACGCATTACATAATGTTTTGTAAATTGATTTTGTCTTTTGACTTGGGCATTAAATAGTTTATGGCTAAGTAGGCAGAGCCTTGACAGATTTGAATACAAACAAAACTGGCAGGATACCATTTAATCTTTTAAGTATAATTATAATTGGCATAAAGTAAATGAGAGCCCAGCTTTGTTTGTCTCAAAAGAGATTGCAAGTAAATAGATTTCGAATTCCAATGCGCCAATCAATGTCCGATTGCATTCGAATGCATTCATTGAACCCGAATCAACACTCAGCTCAATAGAAAAAAGCTAAACCGAATATAACTGAACAGATCCCGGCGGAACTCAACGGAACTGATCGAAACTAACGGCCTGAACTCAATCGAGGACTGATTTCATTCAAATGAACAGGAAAATCAAAACAATTTCACGCTTGAAATTTGAAAAAATTAAGGGAGACCACTACTTGCTAAACGATACGCCAACAATAATTAAAAGTAACTTTACTTTTGTCATGGCAACAAAGTTCAAATAGATAAAATCAAAACACAAACGATTGGTTGACAATCAATTAAATACGACTAGTTTGATGTCAATGGACTCGCTTCTTGTTGCCTTTTTGCAGTTTAGATTGCAAAATACGCGCTTGCTTAAGTTACTCATGAGAAAGTCCACAACAAATTCCCTGAGTTGTGGAACTAGGTTCGCCTATTAGCTAATAAAACTGATAAAGTCGCATGCCATAATTTCCCTGCATCCATAACGGGTATACGTAATCTGCCGCAGATACTGCGCTTCAATCCTAACCCAAATCGGGCGAATGGAGCACTGAGAGTGCAGCTGATTGATAATAAACGGAGCAAAGCACAGCGAAATCACGAATCGCAAGGCGGTCGGCGGCAACAGTGCGTATAAGTAATCGCGTCCCCTCACTAACAGAAGCCAGCAAGAAAACGAGAAATCAAGAAAACAATCCCCATCCAAAAGTCATTGGCCAAAGTGCGGCAGAGACGCAGAGCGCCAAGAAAAATGCGTGTTTTCATGCATGCTAATTAAATTAAGCGCCAAAGAATGTGCAAATCTGCAGCGGCAAAAGCTGGCAAACAAACTGAAAACAGAACAAATGTACCACGGAATATGTATAACGAAGAAAAAACCATTGCTTAATGAATATTTAAGAACAATTTTTAAATTTCTAAACTCATTTCTAAGCATACGAAATATTAAAATAGTAAACAGAACTGCTTGAAAAAAGCATCTTTTAGTAGTACGTCAATGTCGATAGATATAAGAAACAAGCACTTAACAATTAACCGATCGTTCCAGTAATTACCGAAAGCCCTAAATAAGCGCCATAAAAATCACAAAATCACAACACATCCATTGTTTTCCCTTTGGATTTCTCAGAGATAAGGGGCAACCCCAAGAGCCGAGTACCTACTGAATTAGCCCACCCAGTTCTGCCTTCTGTCCCTTTTTAGATTCCCAACTGCAATTTGCAATAACTGATAAGCTGATAAGATAATGCGGCGAATCAAATTCACCATGACCTACAAAGAAAACCTGTCCAAGCGAGAGTCTTCAACTAGCAAAGTGGAAAAAAGAAAGCATATTCGTGCAGCAGTAGCTCAAGGATTCTCGAGGACTCACTTTCCTACAAATCTAATACATACCGATCTTACAAGATACTAAACAGCAATTGCTCTAGCTTCCATATGCAGTACGTATGTATGTGCATATATTCATTTCAGTTTCCTAATTGTTATATTATTGAATAGCCCATTTCTCGCGATCGACGCACAAGCACACGCGTTCCAATCGAAACGAATTACTAAACTGGCCAAGAAAAGTTGTCGGTTGGACATTATTTATGGTGGAGGCTCAGGCCTCAGCCCCGTATTCTTCCTGAAATGGGGTTTCAGCTATTTGAGCCCGATCATTATCGACAAACAAACAACCATTAAGAAATGCGAAACAGCAATTCCCAGAAGACCACTTAAATTCTTGGTAATGTAAAATATGTACGAGTATTTTGCTTAGGTTGAAGTGTAACAGAAATTCAGTCTAAATCGATACTTTTACTTTAAAACAGGGGCTTCAAATCTGTGAACATATTCCTATTATACACGAGAGCTTATAGGTTTTAGTTTATATGATGCGACCCCCGTTTATGATATGAAATCTGTTTATTTACTTACGGACATGCGGACAACAACAAATTCGCAGTATGGTAAGTAATACTGATATGTGAGGATAAATATTGTAAAAGATCTCTTCGATGTGTGCGCGCATACGTATGTAAGTTTGTGCATCAGAGTGTGGGTGTATTTGCGGTGGGCAATCAATAATCATTCACTCGAAACCATGAATCAAACGCAAAACGAAATGAAATCATGAGCTGGCAATTATCTCGAGTTGCGCCTGCGCATGAACTAGCATGAAGACCTTTTGGGACTGAGGGGGGCAAATATACTTGTATATTTACATATATGGCTGGATTGCGGGGCAAGTGGTGGCAATGACTCACCTTGATACAGGTATCGCTCTGATTAAATGCTGCTGCGGTGAATGTTGCTGCTGATGCTGTTGCTGCTGCTGTTGCTGCTGCTGCTGTTGCTGCTGCTGTTGGTGGTGCTGCTGATGCTGCTGCAGCGTGTTGCTGGCCACCGCGGCAGCTGCTGCGGCTGCTGCAGCAGCCACTGTGTTGGTTAAAGCGCTGTTGACCAGCAAACTGGATCGCTGGCCGGAGTTGGAGCCACTGCCTCCATTAACCGCAGGATCGGCCACGCCCCCAGCTCCTGCCGAGGCCCGCAGCTCCGTGTGCTGATCGAACCCCAGCCCACTGTCGTTCGAGTTGTCGCAGGGCGGCGGATGGGGTCGCTGTGGTATTCGCTTCCCAGGAACCATTTTGCCAGGACCCGCCTGGAAAAAGCCAAGTAAATGGAACCAATCAGTACAATAACTCTGCCATTTAGAGCCACTAGCTAAGTAAAAACTGGATTCAGTTTCCCAATGCCTTTTTTTAGTACACTATGCTAATTTAACTGGTTAATTATTGATTAACTCACCCTGGTTATGGTGTGCAGCTTACCGGGCAATCCCTTGCCCGGCTGTCTTTTCGATGGTATGCGAAATCCTTTTCGATGTATTCGCGCACTCATTGTGGAATTGGTGGACATGGTCATTCTCATGCCTAGAATGTAAATAAAACAAGAGATGTGATTAGTATTGATTACTACAAGTATACTCGTATGCCAAACATCGTATGGCTGTTTGTGTCCTTTGTTTCTGGTGCTCCCCATTGGAGCCAGGTCAAAGTGGAAACTCCTATACGATCGCCTCATTCGCAGTTCCACATAGCGCCTATGGTACTGCACTTTATTGGAGCACAAAAGAATTAAAATCCAGATAGAGGCGAACCAAGAAATCATTGTCTGATTTGTGGTGCCCGTTCGTTCGCAAGTTGCAAGTTATATGCCATGCATATGGAAACTGATAATGCTGCGACGTCTATGGGGTGCATTGAACTCCGCCGGAGAGTGCAAACCCGGAGACCTAAAGTCCGTGTACTGTCTGAATCTGCCTGAGCATAGAATCTGTTGCAGCTGCACTTCCCGCTGCCTTTGTAACAATGATAGTTATGGTGATGCTACTATTGCATTCATTGTTGATCTCAATTGAAGCTCAATTTCCATTTGCATTCGCATTCGCATTTCCATTTCAATTTCAACAGCAGTTAAGTGTTATTATTTTCTTGTATTTTATTTTATTTTATTTCATTTCATTTTCTGCTGCTCTACATGGAGTTCTTGCCTACAAGTAAAGCCACACATGTACGAGTATATCATCTGGCTGGGCGCTGTTTGTACATTATCATGGGCAGCGGCAGCGGCAGCCCAGCCAACAGAACAATGGGTTGGAGTCCGCTGATAAGGAAGCCAGACAAACCCGACCAAACTAAACGAACCCAACCCATTAACAAGCCGCAACTTGGGTGCACTCCTCAAGCAGCCTTAATTCTTTATTGTTACCGCGTATTCGATTGTATATTTGGCTTTCGCTTCCTTATTTAAACTTGCATGTGCATTTCACAGAGCATTTAATTAAAATGCGAATCGATTGCAAACAAAATTTGATAATTTCTTGGGGAAGCGCAGGCGAGTCGAATACGACTGGGGTTATATCTCCCATATATTTATTGGGGTAGGCCAAAGTCGAGGCAAAAAAAAAAAGACAGGGAAAACGATAACAATACAAGGGAAATTAGAAAAGGAAAGAAAGAAGGATTTTACGGTCAACTGCTTAAGTTTAAATTACATTTACAGATAATAATCCCATTCAATTCCAATGGAAAAAAGTATCAAATGCAATAAATGACGACAAAAAAATCGCGTAATTCTGAAAACCCTGCAAATTAGCTTACAACTATTGGATTTGTCAAACTCAACGCCCTCTTCCCGAAATCCATTTAATTCTAGATAAATCTCCTGTGAAACTATGTTCCGTTCATTGATTCCGGTAAAATCGTTCCACAATTACGAGCTAATTTATGAGATAAGAATCGAGCAAACAACAGCGCCTTTGATAGCAGCAATGAAAACAAGCAAACGTTGATCTTCAATTACGAATATTCTCTGGTGAACTGCGTTGCGCTCCCAGCAAAAAAAGATGAAAATTATGTAGATATAGGTGGTACTCAAATGGGGGAGGTGAGAAAATCTGTTCGACTTTTGGCTCTTGTGATGGCATAGGTACAAAAAAACAGCCACGCGATCCGCACCCGTTTTGGCCTAACCTTGGCTGGCAATCAAACAAAGAGGCAAACAAACATTTATTGTTGGGCTTGCGGAACGCGCCTACCTGCAGTAGAGCCACAAAGGTAGGAACCCGTAGAACGGATTCCGTCATATGGGCTTTACCTGGTACGACTGCAGATAAGACAGATACACGGGTTGGGATCGGAACCACCACGGGAGGGTGGTGGGGTGGTGTTAGATGGTTATGATGATACGCGCCTATTGTTTCCAAGGCGCTAAACTGCCATCTCATTACAATGCAGATACAGATACAGCTGCAGATACAACAGATACTACAGATAAATGGATACGTTAACGATATCACAATCGGAGCAAGCCTAAAGTCACTTTCGTCTATCTACGATGATACACCAGACTTTGCACCCAATTGGCTGACAAAAAGGTGACTTTAATTCAATTCTCAACGGAGATCTGGACGAGGTTGGCGTGAAGAATTAACCTGAATAGTTAAACACAGATGTTGTTGTCTCGGTAATTTGCAAGTTCTATAATTAAACGCAGATTCCTCGGACGAAATAACAGCTTCGTCGAGGTGAATCCAAAACAGATTGTCAATAAAACAATAATTTAAGTGTATTGAACCCAGTCTGACCCACTGTGCCCGTCCCACCGCCCCCATAGTACTTTCTCCACTACTATGAAAGATGAGCCCCTCCTTGCCGAGTGGCTCGAAAACTATGTCATAGCGGAAATGAGAAACTAACTAGTCGGACCAATTTGTTCGATTGAAAGGTAGCGCTTTAAAACGCTCCACATTTCAGACTTAAGACGGCTTTAACAGAAACATTCAGGTTTTATATTATTATTATAAATATACCTGTTCGAGTGTAAAGGAACTAAATTCAGCAAGATGAATATTTTGTTTAAACCCTATTACAGGCACTTCTTCTCCTGCTGAGAACCATCTCCTTGTTACCATCCAATTAGCGGGCTGGTCAAGTGGTTCGGCGTTTGATTAAAAGGCCTGGGTTCGTTCCGTGGCTTCTTGGCAATATTTCTGCCGTTTTGCCAGTAATCTTATCGCTTCGCCGAAAAGACTGGCAACTGGCGAAAAGCGTTAAACAAGAACCGACAACCAAGAACGAAAACCCGATATAGAGAATGGAATTGAATCACCGGCAACAACTGGCGCCTCTCGCGTAATCGGAGATTGGGGAGCTCGATTTTGCTGGTTGGATGTTTGGATCTTCGGTTCTGGTTAGGAAATTCCGGCCTGGTGTGCTCGATGAAACACCCATACACATCGATTATCACATGTTATCAGAGCAGAGGCCCAGCAAGAGATCTTTTTTTTTGTCGAAGCAACTATGGCATGTTTGCCGATAGCATTGGATGTTGGGACAGTAAAATTAAGCCGATATCTTATGTACGTAATGCCCATAAAGCCTCCAAATTGGCAAATAAAAAACGTCTAACTCTTGTTGTCAGCTGGCATTCCACCAAAGTCTATCTATCAAAAACGCTGCAAGATATGACTCATAGTTTTTGAAAACCGAATGCGTATCTTTATGGGGGGACCTATACAATTGATGGAACAACAGAATTTTTGGGCCAATAAAACATTAATTAAACATATGAACATATGAGTATTTACAGCTTTGAAAGTTTCAAGGTTCGGGGCAACTATTCTTATGCAAATATCTTAAAGATACGTTTTATACTGCTTCTTAACACATCCTTACCGAAATTACTTTTGTAATGATGCTGATAGGCTTGGAAATTTGTGTTGTTGTTGCCGCCATTGTTGTTATTGCTGTGATGGGCATAGTGATGGCCATTGTTGTTGCCATTGTTGTTGCTGTGGCCACCCCCATTATTATTACTATTATTGCTGTTATTATGGTGGCTCAGATTATGCATTTTAGATGGAATCCGATAACCGGACTCGTAATGTTTATACTGATTGTAGGTGAAGCGCATTTTGATTGATTTTCACTGGACTTTAATTAACTTTAATTTACTCTTATGGCTATTTGTAGTGCAATTAATTTATTTTCGGTTAGTGTTCTTTCACTCTTTCTACTCTCTCCTCGAGCTTCTCGTTCTCTTTTTGGGATAAGTGCCTTTAGTATATTTTATAAATATGTTTACAGGCATCGATTTTGTTGTCTTCCCTCTGACTTGTATTGTTTTCGTTGATTTGGTAAATATCGTTGGCACATTTAAATGTTTCTTTGTGTATTAAATTAATTTTTATAATTTTGGATTGACTTTGTACATTTGTTTGTTTGTTGTTGCTTTGTTAGTTGGTAAATGTGCTCTGCAGTTGCTTTGATTGTTTGAATCTACCAGCTATATAAATAGAAATCAAATACAACTTATTATAATGCATGAGACGCGGAAAAATCGATAGAAAAACTGTGAAAAACGCCCGAACGAAACGCGTTTAAAAAATTGTACGTTTCACGTTTTGAACATTTTGCAACGCTTAGAAAACGCTGGTAAAACGCACTTAAAACGCTTCGAAAACAGGTTGAAAAAATCGTTGTTTCGTTTTGTTTTGTTTCGGCACTTCGCTTATTTATTTATTCATATGACCGTTTGGTTTTTATTTCTTTGTTTTGTTTTTGTACTCCGTTTTTACAGCTCGATGCCAAAAACTGAATCCGACTGACCGATGTAAAAATGTTGTTTTTTATACACACATCTTCTTTTATAGCCGGCCCGGTTCAAAGTCCAAGCGACAAGAGAAGGCAGAAATAAGGAGATCGCAATGGTTTAATGATCATTTTGTTGCATATAGACAATGATTATGATAATCGGGGGTGGAGTTGCATTGGGCTGGGGAGTTAAGTGCATTCTTTTTCCCTTTCCCAAAACTGGTTTCGTTGTCCAAGGCGCCTTGAAAAGTTGAACCCGTTTCTGTTTTCCAATATTTTGATCCTTCACCAGCTTCCTGGTATCTGCCTTATTATCTTCTTTTTGTTTTTTGCCACATGAATCGACCCCGTTTACAGTTAAGAGTTCGGAATCGGAAAACGAGTTCCACACGATCTCGAGATTCTTCCCTGTTCTACTTGATTGGATGCCCTTTTACTTTTCGGGCAGGAATGTAAAGCCCTTTTCTGTGGCGAGTTCCACAAGGTCTCAAGGAACTACACTTTACACGATCCATACCATAATGGGTTAAGCACTCAGAACTACATTTCATGCTGAGAATAATAAACTATTCGTAAAACATAACAAAATGTTAAGAAAACTTCAATTATAAATGGAATATTCAATGCTGTGATAAGAACTAGTCTCAAAAATATAGAATACTATTTCCGTAATTTGTCGACACTTCCAGCAGCTTTTCGCTCAGTGCGCTTCAGTTTTTTTTGTACACGATTTTAACGACTAATCGAGGTGACACAGATAAGTGTGTTAGCACCGACGACCCCGCCCCCTTCTTCTGTAAGCCCCACCACCGCCTCCTTTGGGCATTGCCTCAATGGCCAGTGGTTTCGGCATGGATTGGTCTGTAGTCGTACATTATGTTTTGTTTTTGACAATCAAATGCCAAGGCAAGTTCTTGGCTTGATTAAATGCTAATTGAAATTGTACGGTCTATTTATCAGCAATCGGTTTTTTATATACTCGAATGAACTGTGTTGTGTGTAATGTGTGTAGCGACTGCCGTTGGTTTTGTGAAAAAATCATGATCTTGTTTCATTGACCCACATTGAACGTGTAATAAACGAGCCTCAAGTGAGCAGAACTAAGCTGATCTTATCTGATCTGCGCACCTCAGATTATTATTCGTTTTTAATTTACGATCAGGAAGCGTCGGAAAATCGGCTAGATGTACAGAAATTTCACGAATCAAGAAACTATTATCTCAAACTTTGAATTGCTTTTGCTATCTGATCTGCAGAGGTAAAATAATATATCTGCTACACTGATCTGCAAAAACCCTTCGAAAATCTTCTCGTTGACTTTAATTTAAAAAGCTCTTACTTAAAAAACTGGTGTGGAAAAATGAACTACTAAACTATTCAACGAAATGCATTTAAAAAAAATCCCACAAAAATCGAATTGACTAGCAATTAAAGCAAAACTATTCAACGAAATGCATTTTAAAAAAATCCCACAAATATCGAATAGACTAGCACTAAAAGTTTAAACTACTTTGCTTTTCACTTTTATTCAAAGATATTTTATTTATATTTTATTTCGATATAGTTTAGAGATCATATTTAATAACTGATATCAAAGAGTTAAAATTTTGCCTGCCCTAAAATCACTTCTTTCACCGACTTATACGATCACTTGTTATAATCATTTCATGATATTCTTATGTCTGCTTTTCTTATTTGCTTATTGACCGCATTTCAATTTGCTATAAACAAAAGTTTTTTTCGCCATTTTCGGTATGCGGGGACTCACAGGCAGAAAGTGAATTAATTGTGTATATAATTGTGTTGTATTTAATTTCTTTTCGGCGCTTGGGAGATTCTAGACGGGTTCCGGTTGACTTCGTTGTGGTCTGTGGGTCTGGGGATTTGCGACTGGAACCGACTTATACGCACAGAGACTGTCCGCTCGTCGAATTCTGTCCCTCGGCCCAAAAGACGATAAGATAAACCCCGAGCAACCGAAAGAAGCTATTTTGGCCTCACTCGAGAAACAAAAAAAAAAGGCAGTACTTATAGTTTAAATCAAGATATTCAGTGAAAATATATTAACTTTAAGTTAGGAATAAACTCGGATCTTTTGCAAATAAAGTTCAGCTTAAGACAATTCAATATTATTCATCTTCAGTTATATGAAAAACTTAAGAAAAAACGAGGTAGGTTTTTTTATATTTATATAATTTTCCAAGATTTTATATATGTATACATATATCATTTCCATGAAATCTCAAATATTATAGTGCACTTTAAAAAGGAGTTGCAAGACTTTTGTCTCACTGAAGGTAAAGTGCCTATACCAAAGCGCCAAGAAATAAATACATCCCAATGTAAACAGGTTTATTATAAATATATATTTTGTTTAGCTAAATTTCTTCGATTTACGGTAAATTTAATTTCTATTCGTTTTCCTTCTATAATTTCAGATGTGTTTTTAGAATTCCGCGATCAGGCCATTATAATTTGGCTGGTAATAAAAGGGCGCACAACTTTTAACATTTCAAATAATGAACGTTAATTGAGCACATCACACCAGAAAAAAAAGCGTGTAGCAATAAGTGCGAAATTTCAGCACGAGTTCGTAGCCGTAATCGTAGTCGTAATTGTAACCGTAAGCCGTAGACCGTAGCTCGTAAGCCGCGAAACGCAAGACCGCAAGACCGAACGACCGTAACCCGTAAACCGTGACCCGTAATCGGAAGAGCAGCGACGAGTGGCGATGCGAACACTTACGCTGAGATCGATGGACTGCGGCGGAAAAAGGCGGGCGAGCTATATAACTTTAGCGCAGACTCGAACCCAATCCGAATCCGAGCCGGAGAATTCTCTCTCTCAAGTGTCCGGTCCGGGCGAAAAGAACGAATCGTCGAATCGAATCGAATGATGCTGAATGAAGATGTGGAGAGCGAGAGAGCAGAGGGGGAATAGAGGAGAGCTGCCCAAGAGAGAGCAAGAGTCGACTGAGATGGAGCAACAAGTGTACGCGTGGCCGAATGACGACAACGGGTTTAATTGATTTCGATGTGTTTGTGAGTAGAGCGCGCGCCTAGTTTCTTTTTGTTGTTGTTGTTGCTGTTCTTGTCCGCACTGATTGCAAACACAAATTGATAAAGCAGCCACAAAGAGAGAAAGAGAGGGAGAGAGAGATACGGAGCCGCGGTATCAATATTAAAATCAAAAGATCGATCTGCAACCTGCACATTCCATCTTCAACTTTTTTCGCTCTATTTTATGCTTCGGGCCGCCGTTGCGTATGCGCATTATATTAGGGTGGACGTGGTGCATAAATGAGGGCGTTTAGCCACTTATGAAGTCTTAAATCAAGAGATATATTCATTGCAGTATAATAATTTCTGTGTATATGTGTCTTGATTATTCATCGTGTTTAATTTTATAAAATATTTATTTGAGACTTTACATATTTATTTCAGACGTTTTCCCAATTTTTTTTCCTAGAGCGGTACATCCAAAAGTATTTAATTTCATGTTTGACTGCGATGCATGGCTGTTAATTAACACTAGACAGCACACGTTCGCTTTGCGGTCACTTGCAGACAGTCAGGGCCACTCTAAAGAACGGAGTGCCAACATAGATCGGCACATACAAACGCTGATAAGTGGACAAACATACGAATGCCAGCGATTGTACACTGGAAAAAGAATTCACTATGCAATATGTTTTATGTATATTTTAGCTAAAAAATGATACCCTTTCGAATGTTATTATAGTAACTAAGACCATTATTATTTCAGGATAGAATTAAAACTTTTAGTAGCCTATTTTTTACTAGTGCATTTGTGTAAATTTTTCGGTTGGGCTCAATCAACTGTTTGGCAAGTGTGACCAAAAAACAAAGCTCAACACAACAAATTTGAGTTCTTTTATGGGTAATTTAGTCTCATCCGTTAGAAGTTGTTAATTTGATTGCTATTTGAAAAATAGACAAATAATCTACTGTCCCATTCTCACGCACATTTTCCACAATGTTTCTTGTCATATTTGGGTCTTAAATGTTATTAAAATCTTCATTGCACCTATAACGGTAAATTTTTTCTTTTGGAAATTCGTTTGCTCCAAATTTGGTCACACCACAGTCACGCGTAACGAGGGAAAGATGGTGGGGTGTCACATTGGCCCCACATGTCAAGTGGCTCAGCTGAGCGTGAGCGTAGCGGACAGCTGTAAAGAGAGCGAGCGCTCTCATTTTCCGAATCAACGCACGATCGTGCCAACAACAATAACAGTATAGGCAATGACGTTAATTTCTCATTGGTTGCCGATGGCCGAACAGTGGGGCAAAATAAAACAGAAAGGTAATATTATAATCGATTTTGAAAGACTTTGATTAAAACAGTCAATGGTGTAATTACGCATTAAGTTATGACTTTACACGTATGAATAGTGTTATTGTATACAAAACTCCTGAATGTCAAGAACGTTTTTTCTACAGTATACTATTAGCTCGCTCTAGTCCACTGTGCCAAAAAAAAAAGTGTTGTTCAAAGTTAGCAACAACTACAACAGCAACAAAACAAACAGCATACAACACATGTAAATTGTTAACGCCGACGTCATCATGAAAGGCAGCGCAGTAGCAAACGGCAGAGCAAAGAGAGCACGCTCACACCTCAAAGCGTGTTATCAAAACAAGAACTACAACTATAGTAACCACAACAACAACCAATGATAGTTTTTTTTTTTGTTAATTTTCGGGTGGGGCGGGGGGGTGGTGAAGTGAGAGCGTGTATGCCAAGGTAACATGAAAATAGAGCCACACACGCACACTCACGCATACGCACCTAATAATGCGCATACGCAGCGTTGACGCCCATTATTTTATGCGCGTTATCATCAAAAATACATAACAAAACCTGAATATTTACTTTTGGCGCTTCTTTTTCACTGGGAGGATAAGCAATAAGTAAACGATCAAAACAAAACAATTAATATGTAATTAAGTAATGGTAATAGGGCAATTTGTCCCTTTGAAAACCAAACCAATTCAAACCAAAGTCAACGCAATTTTATTGATTGGACTAGGCAATATCAGAAAATCTATTCCACACCATGTTTTCACACCTCCAAAATGAAGTCTAGATTCTCTAGATTCGATTGGGGATAGTAGCACTAATCGATCCCAAAAAGCAGTGCGTAAGCTTAGCTCGATTCGCGATGGAATTGAATTAATACTTAACATATTTAATGGCCAACGCGCACATTTGTCACTCGGCGATGTATAATTTATAACATTTTGTTCGTTGACAGAATAGCTCCCCTCGAAAACCCCCGATGGTCCCGAAAAAATGATGATTACATCTCGTGTATTTGCTGATTGTTGTGTTCGCTGATTGTTGTTGCTGTTCCGATGAATGTATTATATTATACCCTACTTTTAGTGCGTGGCGACCTTAGCATTGAACACAGCCAGGCACCAACAACAAGAGCAACGATAATAAACCAACAACCACATACAATATACTCGACTATTTGTCAAGGTTCAAGGTTACAACCTGCACTTATTAATACGGTTTATTGTACTTTTGTTTCATCACCTGCATCAGTAGTTTCAGTAGTACAACCAACAAAAACAACTAGCCGCTGCAACAACGACAAAGCAAAACAACTACAACATTAGCTACTTGACCTGCAGGAGCAATTGGCTTCTATAATTATTTATACGATGTTTCATTTGTTTCGGAATTTTACCAGTTCCCGAAGTTGCAACAAAAAAAATATACATATAGGGAAAATAAAGCTCCAGCGGTATAGTAATAGGCGGAAAACTGTACTTAATCTTGAGAGATTTTGCAGTTTTTCTACTAAGAATGCAATCCGTATTACAAAGGTATGTTCTGTGGTCCGGAAGTAATAAATACAATTTTATTTGTATTATTTTGTATTGTTTCCAATTGTAGGGATTTATACAGTTCTCAATGGGGTGCTTCATAATACATTCTTTTTATAGTCTTATCATTTCACCATACGAACTAACAGCCACGAACCGCACTGTCTCTGCAGGCACATACAATTTAATTTGATTTGACGCGCTTCGATTTGTTTCGATTGGCACTCTAATTAGTATAGCTTCAAAAATTGCCAAATTATTTCCAATCATTTGTCTCCGCATTCTTGTTTTTTGCGTCTCGTTTCAAATTCTGAATTAGCCAATGGAAAATCGGCCAGATATCTCGACATAAGACATTTACGTTCCTCCGGAGGCTGCAGACCGAAAAAAATATTTTCACATCCAACGAATGCTGTACATTACGTAGCCCAATATCTAAATCATGTTAAATGCCTAATCACGATCTCGGACGATTTATTTCGTATCGATTAACGCGATTCCTCCTCTTCCTTTCCCTTTTTCTTTACCTATCCAAATCCCTTCTGACTGGCGACGACACGAATGAACGCTAACCACAAAGGTAAACAAAAGAAGCGTAAAAAGCGAACAAATAGCGTTTCAATCTTTTTGGCTGAAGAATTTTTCTACAGCGGTACGATGTTGTTTTTAAGCTAAAAGGTTGGTTATTCTGAACAGTTATATTAGTTGTATCATTTTATCACAATTAAACCAAGGAAAAGTGTGTTTTTTTTTGGTTGAAAGGAATATCAGAAAGGAAACTTTGAAATTAAAGTATCAAACATGAAAATATGCTTGCTGTTGCAGTTGGACATATTTTTGGTGGATGAACCAACAATTGTTAACAAATCTTCTTTCATTTTAGGTAAACAATTTTAGTGTTTTGTACAGCAATAAAAAAACGAAACACCAGACACGAAATGTTATTGAAAACGTTTTGCGTATGGCGCTTTTTTTACGGCGGCTGCTGATCGTAAAAATGTTAAAACAACAGACAGAAAACTCGCAAAAATTAAATTGTTATTCCACTGTTGCACGTACAACAATTGGTAGAAACAATAACAACGCCACTGAACTTCAAAAGACCCACAAAAACAACAATCAAGGAAAAAGAGTTTAGTGCTTCTTTTCAACAATAAAATTGTTGTACTGTTCAATTAATTTGCTTAAAATTGTTGTAATTGCGTTGCTGACGCTACATTCTGATTTAATTATGGCAATGGCAAAAGCAGTAGAAAATATCACGCATACGCCGCATTGGCCGTCTGGCCATCTCAGCTGTTAAACGCATGCTCACTTAACAGCGGCCGGTAGGCAGTAACAGCCACGTTAACGTTAACAGTAGCCAGCTGTTTATATAAATGATAAATGATGAATGGTGTTAGTATCTATAATCACCGCTTATCGCAAAATTACAATCGGATTATAACCGATATTTGTTGACAATGGCCACCCAGCAATTTTCGGAAATCCTTTGGAAGCACTCAAAACATCAATAGACTGCATAATTAAAGGTTTATATTATTGATAGCAGACCAATTTGAGCTGATAACTTCAGTTCAATGGCAAAACGTATTTAGATCGCAGACATACTTGGGTAATTTTTGAAAACCAAACACCTGCTCAACTATTGCAACATTGTTTTTATTCATTTGGAATGAAATTAGATTGTAGAAATTGTATTTAAAGGCAAGTGATCATTTGTTTCGGTTGTTAATAGAATAAAAATATTATATTAATAGAACCTGAACATCACATCACTGACCAATTAAAAAGAATCACAGCATATATTAAAAGGCCATGAGGGAGCACTTGAAAACCCCTGATCTTTAGTTCCTTCCATGTTCGAACATTAATCTCATCTGCTTCTTCTTGCACTGAATGGGAATTACTGCGCGTGTCTTCTAATCGCC